ATATCCAATACTTTATCTCCTTCTTTACCCAGATATGAGATCGCCATCAACCTCAGAGGGTATTCAGGTTTAATTGGTATTCGTATTGATGTCTATTAAAAAATTTAACTCAAACTCTAGATGGGTCAAAAGGACAGCTATCCAATCAAATTCGTCTAAATATGTCAGCCAAATGCCTCACCAGAAACAAAATCAAGTACAGAAACCAACAAATGGATCATTCTACAATGTATAAAAGGCACATCATGAACTACAACGAGATTGTTAAAGTCTTTCAGAATAGTTGTAACACACCAACCAACAAAACCACTGCAACCAATCCTATGCAAACCAAGGGATGAAATGACAAAAGAAGGAAAACTGAACATCATCTACAAAATAAATTGTTCCAACTGCGTTGAACACTTCATCGGACAAAGTGAACACCCTCTTCATCTTCGCCTACATGAACATCAACTAGCGGTCAAACGCTATGACATATGCTTGCTTACATCAATGAATGTGGATAACTGTGGACACACATTCGACTGGAAAATTGATGAGATCTTGAATAGAGGCAATTCTAAATACACCAGAGAATTTTTAGAAGCTTGGCACTCAAATCAATCAGCAATCAACAAACACATTGAGACCGATCCAATTTATCAACCAATCAGAAAAATTATGGACAAATAAAGGACCAAGAATCAAACTAATGGGAGATACAACCAAAATAAAGAAATAAACAATGACACGTTAATGGTCAACAAGAACCAATCAACATTGAGGTCTATAGGACAAACTGTGAGCCATATGTGATGAAATTGGAACATTCCACTTCTACTTGAAGTTTCTGCTGATGATATTGTTCAGAATGACGATGTAAGCTACAAGAGTGAACCATCCAACTCAAAGAATAAAACCCCTATGTCAAAAGATCACAAAACATTAAAATTAGTTCTTCAATAATTAAGGACATAGACACTAACATTGTAACTGTAAAAAAGTATAAAGAGTTAAGTCATTTACAATATTGTAATTCAAGTCATTGAAAAAGTTTAGGTTGACAAAATAGAAATGATTATGCTATGGGTAAAGGTATGACAGGTCTTTTATTATTATTATTATCATTATTAATAGTCATTAGAAATGGATAATTAATTTTCCAATAAATAATCAAGTTATTTCAATGGTTGAGAACATCAGCCGATTGAAGCTAGACAAACATAGAAAATCTGGAAGCACTGAATGTGAACGCGTACTGCTGAAGAGTCCCACAAAATAGAACGAAATGGCTATCTACTGTTTCCATGTTTTTCATGGTGGTCTAGCTTCAATTGACCCATGATCTCAGCTATTGAAATAATGAAATGACCAGTAAGTTTCATGTACTTGTAAAATAAAATATCTGAATTAAAATAAATAAGAGTTTTGTCAGTTTACTACTTTAATATTAGACTGTATTTATCTTTCTCAGCATTTATTATTAATCATATAGTGAGATATTTTTAAGTAGTATGTATCATCAATAAATAGTGAAATACCTGACGGCAGAAATTTAAGAAAATCGAAGAGAAGAGAACAAGAACAAAGAATGTTTGGTATGAGAATGAAGGAATGATGAAGTCTAAGACGATTGATTGATATTTTGTAAATGTGGTATTTACTGCATGGTCCTAAGATTTTACTAAGATACTTTGTAATTATGTATATGAGTACTTTCCACTGTCCTAACTTGTGTTAGTTATTCATTCTTTGAAGAAGTGACATATACTTGGTGACGAAAGTTTAGAAAACCTAAAAAATCGATTTTTCAACTTATTGACAAATATAGGACCAAGAATTAAATACATAACTCATGATCTCAATCATTTAAATTACCATAATATCCACAATATCCCTTCTGATAATGATCAATATATGCTCACTAGTGACTGGCTTCATGAGGTATTTACTGGAGTTCTAGTGAGAATCAGTGACCAACTGAGTGCAACCAGGTCTGTTGCGAGTCAGTAACTCACTAAAGACATTAATGGATGTGTCACTCAATTTCGTAAATCAGTTGAATTTAGACATTAACAGTGTTGGATGCCGACCGACTCAGTGGTCTAGAGGTTAAGGAGACCGACGTATCCTGTGTTTGAATCTGGCGAGGCGGGATCATGGATGCGCACAGCTGAGGAGTTCTGCAATAGGACGAAACGGCCGTCAATTACTTTCAAGTTTTCATTGATGGTCTAACTTCAACTGGCTCATGATCTCAACCATTAAAATTACTATCCACAAATTCCCTTCTGATATTATTGAGATATTACAAATATATTATGTTTATCTATCACAATCGAATTGTTTTTGTATTAATTATTATTCATTATCTTTCCCATTAAAATATTAAGAAATATCTAGTTCAGTGAAGGGATCTCTATTCAAGGAATTCATTATCAAACTATACAACCGTATATATCATATCAGCGTATGATAGGATTATAAATTTAACGAGTACAGAGTGGGTGTACAACTCTGGCTTTTTATCCTTATTGGAATATATTAGAGTTTCAGAACTTTTCTACCGGTAGTTTACTGATTTTGTATCTGCTTGATGTTCATTTGTGATCCCAATCCAAAAACATGACTGATAATGTTTATATGTTCCCAGATTAGTATCTACTTGATATGATTTCTTAGTAAATATTATGAATAATTCAGTATGTGAATTCTGTTCTGATTAGGTGTTCTTTCCTTAATGAGAAGTTCTCATTTATGAATAAGGTACTTGTCATCATCGAGGAAATCCTATAGCTGATAGCCTACTATTCATGTGCTTGACCACTCACTGTTGACTGATACCTGTTCATTAAAATAAATCCACAAACAAACGTTAATATGGAGTACATTTTGTAATGAAATCATCAAAAACTGGGTGAAATAGCAGTTTGGTTTGTTCAAGTTTGTTATTCTTTAATAGCATATATTACCGACCCTAAGCACTGGAATAAATCAGGATTATTTAAGTCTTGCGGTAAACCCCCTTACATGAAACACATTTTCAACTTCAGACATCACGTAATATTATACTGGTATCGGCATTTCTCACTTATCCTACATAGTTAACTAATGACCCCCAAACCATTTCACTTGAACATTGTGAATTCTTCTACAAATCAATTTCTAGCGTACAACTCTATATTATTTGGATGAGCAGTTTGTAGAACTAATCCATTTCCTGGTAATGCTTAACATCAAGAACTAACTTCATCTAGACGTTTATAGGGAATCAGAAAGAATTAAGAAAATCTTTTGCTATCCAAGCATGATACTTTATAGTATTACTTAACCGCGACTCTAGACGACTATGTGGTCAGTCATTAGATCTACAATTCATTTGCAATATATTGCCCAGTTCAACGTTGTGAAGATTATTTTATGAAAATTTATTTAGCAGGTTCCATATTAGGAAGAAACTGCTTTCCAGTCCTTTTTGTTTCCAGTGGTACACCAATGGATCTCCAATTGTGATGAATATCACACACGAATATTAAGCATGTTAAATATACTGTTTATGATTATTTAAGTTTGTCATATGAAATCACTCAATTCACTGATTAGAGCCATTACACTTTCACTTTGAGTTTCCCCATAGTAGTTTTGATTTTCTTATGGGATTGAGCGGGTTTATTATCAAAAAAAATGATTCTATTAAGATCGTTAGTTATAAATCCAGTGTAGCAGCAGCCTCAGCAGCAGTAGGTCTCAACATACACAAAGAAGGAAGTAAGATTCTCTGATACAACTCACCATGCACTAATCGAAGGCGCAAATCGGAGAACTAAGAGCAGCATATTAACAACTGAAGAACATCTGGAACTCAAAACAATTGTCCTCAAGTCAAAACCAAAATCAGAATTTTCAGCACAAATGTCAAAACAGTTCTACTGTATGAGGCGGCAACTTGGAGAACTACGAAACCCATCATCCAGAAGATACTAGTGTTTATGAACAGTTGTCTAAACAAAATATTTCCGATTCGTTGGCCAGACACTATCAGTAACAACCTATTGTGGGAGAGAACAAATCAGATTCCAGCGGTGAAATAAATGAGGAAGAAGTGCTGTAAGTGGATAGGATACAAATTGAGGAAAGCACCCGACTGCATCACAAGGCAAGTCCTTACTTGAAATCCTCAATGCCAAATAAAGGCGAAGAGGAAGACCAAAGAATAACACATTACTTCGGGAAATGGAAACAGACATGAGAAGAATGAACAAGAATTGGATAGAACTATAAAGGAAGGCGGAGGACAGAGTTTGTTGGAGAATGCTAGTTGGTGGCCTATGTTCCATTAGGGATAACATGAGTAAGTAAGTAAGTTATGAATCCAACTAAACAAATGACTAGTCGTATTATGTTTGAACAGCTACCATATTTTATTCCTGACATACAAATAAAAATCATGTACGAACTTACTAAAATCAAATGAGAATAATAGATTTTTCAAGAACGTTCACAATGGTGGAAATGGAAATAGCATAAATGAACTGTTTAATTCCTAAAGTATTTTTGAAGCTAATGTGGTGTGAGCTACTTATATCCATTTAAGTAGTTTATAACGATCATCAGGAATAGAATTTATTTCAATAGATCGTGAGCTCAAGAACGGGAACAGAAAACAATTAGTATGAAAATGTAGGAAAAATGAAATCCAAGACGATGAACTGATATTTGCAAAAGGAACAGTCAAATTTGAGACAATTGTTTGACATTTTGCAAATTACCTACTTACTGTATGGTTCTCAGATGTTCTGTAATTTCGTGGTCACAGACAGCTGATTCTTCAGCTATTCCATGAAACGACTAAAGTTTTAATGTAAACGAATTTCATTGTATGGAAGTTACATGTTAAAGGAGTTCGTAACGGAAACTGTATCTTTGTTTTATCAATATATGACAATGACTATCCCGATTTTAGTTAAAACTATATGTTGATTGCATAATTTTTTTCTAAATATTTTTTTCATACCTAGTACTTACAGATTTATACTGTCGTATAGATTCAGATTGTTCTTATATTCATGGCAGTATATGTCATCCAGGAGTTGGTGCATGCGTTTGTCCTAGTGGTTATGAATTTGTATTTCAACAATTTTCCTGTTGTAAGTTTTGATTATGAATTTGATATAAAAAAGAATGTTTTTAACGAATTGATAACCTACTTATTTCAACTTATAAACATTGGTATAAGGAGGCACCAAATAGATATGCGTCACATAAATCATTCGACTTGTCTGAGGGCTGAGATACTGCCCGAGTGCCCAAACCGAATCAGGTGGTTTTCTTGGGGGGGTCACATCTGTAGCCTTTGACCTAAAGGTCTAATCCACAAGGCAGTGGAGCAACATCAAGAGATGCAGTTCCATGGTAGCCGATGACCAGCGATTGGATCGTACGCCATTTGTTCCCTCAGGATCCTGGAGATCATGTACACCATTGGTTTTGAATCAGGGTTTTCCAACTCCCCTAGGTCGAACCTTCATATCCATCAATCCGGTGAAAGCACCAGATATTCGCTTTTTGCCTCTCAATCTCGTAAACATTACTGAGAAGGCAGTGAGTGGGACTTTCCTGGTAGTGGTTGTATGCGCGGGGCCATGTGAAAGTATTTCGAAAGGGAGGGTTGACTTTCCTCACTCTCGGCCGTACCAGGGCATTTAGGGGTGAGTTGACCCAACTTTAGTAGTAAATGATTGGTATGTTGTTTTATTGGATCAGATTTTTATCGAATTATTGATCTTTAATGTGATTGATGATGGATGAATAAAGGTACATAAATAAAATTGTGTACAGTAATAATCTGAGCTAATTACAATCTTATTCAGTAACGTCTGTCATTTATATCAATATTCATAATTATCCGGTCTAACAAATGAAATGTTGTGTCTATTTAAGAACTAAGACAATCATATCATTATCAACTTAGTAAGGTCTCAACTTCTAATTCCATAAGTTTTGCCTTTCTTTTGTGGAGTCAGATTTGGAGCTCTGTATATGTCTATGTTAGGTGAATAACGATAGAAAAATCTATAATATAAATTCACTTGGTATTGTTTGTTTGAACCTTCCCATAGATGTTTAAGGACTGTAATTGATCAGTCTCTTATTGGCATATATACATACTGTGTGTAATGCCTCGATATAGCTATAATTCACAAGCATTATATGCAAAAATGGATACGCACTGTATGCATATATGCTTATATGAGACTGATCAATTGCAGCCCTAATACAGCAATGGGTAGATTCAAGTAAACAATGCCAAGTGAATTTAATCTTCACCCCATTGCACAAACAAGTGGCTATGAGGACTCAGTAGCTTAGTGGGTAACACGATGGCGTTTGAAGCGAATGGTACTGAGTTTGAGTCCCAGAGTAAACATCAACTCTGAGATGCAGGTACATCCAACTGACGAGTCACCAATAGGATGAAACGCACGTCCTGGATTCCAACTACAAAATTACTTTTTATTTATTGTGACTTCCGATTGCTTCGAAATGCATATGGTGATATAAACCAGGCATTGCTCTCTAGTTTTCCATTGGTTAATGAAATATTAGATTCTTAGGGTAACAATCATATGTTATAGACCGGTATATTAATTGTTCAAACAGCGAGACTATAATTTATGGACGAACTAATCAGGTATAAGATAACAGGTTATAGATTTTGGCACGAAATTCATCCGTAGAGTTTTAGCGTGATAGCTTATGTCAGTTCGTGATGAAAACCCGGAATGTAATTCCTAGCCTTAATCATAAACTGTAAATCATAATTCTAATTCCTCATACTGATTTATAACCCTCATTTGGTCCTGGTTATTAAGTGGACACTCTCAAGATCACTTAAGCGTCGCTCTAATGTCATCCATAAATTATAGTCTCACCGTGCAAACCCGTTCCGATTATCATAGTAAATTAGTTCGGCCATATCGGAGGATGAATAATTCTTCCGGCACAAGCTTATTATAAGATATTCATCTATGTTACATTTTATTTTATCCGTAAAGTACTCACTTTTGTTTGAAAGGAACATTGAACTCATTTTCTCTATTCCAATGCTTGAGATCATGAGTTAGTTGAAGCTAGACCACCATGTAAAACCTGAAGGCACTGGACGACCGTTCTATCCTATTATGGGACTCTTCAGTAGTGCACATCCCCGACCCCGCCTCGCTAGATTCGAACCCAGAACCTATCAGTCTCATGCGCAAGCCCTTAACCTGTTGACCACTGAGCCTACATCCAACAGTGTTAATGTCTAACTTCATTTTCTCTATTCATTTGATTTTATTCTGTACATTAGTTAGATAAACTGATTTACTTTTAACTCCTACAGTTCATCGATTCACATATAGTTCATCTCCTGTTCATATGCATCTTTGAAATATTCGTTACCGAGACACTTTAATATTTGACTTTTATTTACCACTGCTATTATTGATATCAGTTCTTTCATCAATATGAAGCCAATTTAGAGGCCAAAGAACAGCTGAAAACCATAATATATAGAACAGCTTCTTACTGTGGGACAGAGCACAATCTTTTATATCTTTAGCTTCAATCAATTCATAATATTGAGCAACTATTTTTCATTACCATTCATGGGAAGATGAATGAACATTCTCCAAAATTAATTGAATTTAGACATGGTTTTCAATGGTTACCTAACTAAAGTGAATTCCTTATATAAATTATGTCATTCTAACTATCTTGTATGGATAATGTATTACTATTCATATTTCTCCAGTACCTCGTGTAAATGACAGTTCGAATCCGTTTTGCACAGCTTGTCAAAGAATTGATGGAGTATGTGTGCTAAATAATAGAAAAAATGGTTTATTATTGAATAATTATTACCAAGAGTAAGTCAATTTTAAATATTCACTTCAATATAACTAATATCAGAAGAGGTTTTTGTGGATATTATAGTAATTTAAATAGTTAAGATCATGAGTCAATTGAAGCTAAACCACCATAGAAAACATGGAAGTACTGGACGGCCGTTTCGTCCTACTGTAGGACTCCTCAGCAGTACTCAACCACGATTCCGCCTCGCGAGATTCGAAACCAGAACCTATCAGTCACGCGCGCGAGCCCTTAACCATTAGTCCACTGAGCCGGCATCTCGCGTAGTGAGATCGTGGATGCACACTGCTGAGGAGTAGGACGAAACAGACTTCCAGTGCTTCCAGGTTTTCCATGGTGGTCTAGCTTCAAATCACTCATGATCTCAACTATTAAAATCAATATAATTAGTTTCGAAATAGTTATACATGCAGTTGAATAATACTAGTGAATTATAGTCAAGTGTAAACTATTTAATGAGGTTGATAAATATTTAGTGTAGTTATAATCATGTGAGGTAACCATTTCACTCAGGATAGATACAAAATTATACAGATAACTTAAAAGTTACCATTCCTAATCGTAATGGTTCAAAAATTATACAAGAAGTATCACATGGTTTAAAAATAAAGACAACTCTTACAATTATGTGTCAACAATCCCATCATAACCCTAGGTTAAATAAACATTCCCTATTAATCATCTTAAACAAAGTGCACGGCAACTAATACTTCCTTACTTACTTACGCCTGTTACTCCTCGTGGACGAGCATAGACCACTTAATCGGTTTGACGTTCTTTTTAGCAAGATTTTTTTCTACGGGATGGGGTTGCCGACCCCATGAGACCTGTAGTAACTCTAGAAGAGCTACAAACGGAGTTATGGAAACTAATAGGCACACTGCAATTTGATGACTTTGATCAGTATTAAACATTACATGATATAAACTGCATTCATTTTTGTTTTTTATTCGGTGCAGCTATTTCAGTGCTATTATATGCTCATTAACAGCTTAAATAGCTAAGTCATAATATATCTGACACTTAAATTCGGTGATAATGATCAAATCCCATTGGAAAAAAATACATCTTTTCCTCTGATGAATGTATATATGTGTTTCTTATGTGTGAAATTTAACATTGAACCGAGATCAAGTGGTTGATTATGGCATGAACCCATTATAAGCATTTAAAATGAAGCCTTAGATACTGACATCCTAGTTGCATTCTAATCTCCAGAGGCCTCAAACCACTGAATCCAGAATTGAAAGCAATGAGCAGAAAATTCGGAAGAAGCACTATTTTATAGTTTGAGGATCGTAAAGCCCAAGAAGATATAACTTTGCTATGCTTTCTAAAGATATAAATATATTTAATTATAGGAAGTATCTAACATCTGTAAATTCGAAACTCTTTGAAAACATGTTAAATAACACTTGGCGTTGTTTACTTGTATCTCCCCATTGTTCTTTAGGACTGCAATTGATTAGTCTCTTATTGGCATATGTACATCGTGTGAGGACTGCCTCGATATTGCCTTAATCCACAAGCATTCTAAGCAAAGATGGATGGTGACTAATATTGGAATGCAGGATGCAAGTTTCTTCCTATTTTGGACTCGTCATCTGGAAATACCTACATCTCACAGTTGGTGATTACTCTGGGACTCGAATCCAGCTGAGAAGTCTCAAACAGGACGAAACGCGCGTCCTGGATTCCACTACTAACCACTATCCATGTTACATAACCTTGTAAAAGTCTAAAATATTCTACTTAAACCATCTTTACTATGACTTCAATGGTAACTGTCAAAGATATTGATACATTATAAATAAGAAACTGTTCTGTTGCTACAATGAAAACCTAATCAATAAAGTCATTGTTCAAGACTCGGAACAATTTCAGGTTTGACTATTATCAAATCGACAAACCGTCTCAACTTTCCAGGTTAGTATTGAGGTTGTTAAGTAAGATAGTTAGACTTAAGATTCCTTGATAAACTTTTCTAGATCTTTCAGTGACATTGAAGGTTATAGTTCCTTGTTGTTGATAATCAGGATTAAACTTATTGTATTTTAAGTGAATATCATTTCTTTACTTATTTTATTCGTAAATGGTTAGTAGTAAGTTTACAAGGAGAAATAAACTTCTAATACTTATATAAGTCTGATACTAACAAGGATCCTAGTTTACTGATTGATTTACATCTACATTACCTAACCATATAAATAATTAGTCGATTTGAGGGTTTTAATGATCGTAAGAACATATCGGTCAAGGTAGCTTTGATTACGAGACTTTCATCCTCTTCCTCAACAACATTATCAGTTTAATTACTTACGCCTGCTACTCCAAATGGAGCATAGGCCGGTGACTAGCATTCTTCAACCCACTCTGTCCTGAGTCTTTCTGGTTCGATCCAGTTGTCGTTCATTCTTCTTATGTCTGTCTCCATTTCTCGAGGTAATGTGTTATTCGTTGGCCTTTCTCTTCTCCTTTATTTGGCTTTGAGGATCTCAAGTAAGGACTTACCTTGTGATGCAGTTGGGCGCTTTCCTCAATTTGTGTCCTATCCACTTACAGCACTTGCTCTTCATTTCTTCCACCTCTGTAATCAACTTTGTTCTCTCTCACATTAGATTGTTACTGATAGTATCTGGTCAACGGATCCGAAATATTTCGTCTAGACAACTGTTGATAAACACGAACATCTAAGAGTTAATAGATTTTACTAGTAAATTTTTAAATGTTTCTAATGTAAGTTAACTTTCGATTTAATTTATTAACTTTACAAAACTTATTAAGTACTTGACTTTAACCCGTTCTGTTTTTGAATAACATTCACTGGAACTATTGACTTATTCAAAACTATAGTGTAGAAGTTTAATGGAAACTTATGTTGTATTGAATGCGATTCAATTACTTTAGTTTCTAACTGTCTATTTCACTTCATATAAAGAGATATTGATTTAAAGTATCAATATGATTGATTATTTATAATCAATAATTATCCTTAAAAATGATCATATTGTTCTTTCATATTAGTGATCTTCAGTGTGCATGTCCTAGAAAACCAAACATTACTGTTATCAAGAAATACTCATTTCTTGATATATGCAATCCAATCCCTGGTAAGTGTAATACATGCATATATATATATATATATATATATATATATAGACAAACTGTTAAATTCCATTCATAGTGATATTACACAAATGCCCTGGTTTGGCCGAGAGTGGGCTGAGCCCTCCCTCCCTCTCAAAACGCTCTCACACGGCCACGCGTATGCAGCCTCTGCCAGGGAAGTCCTACTCACTGCATTCTCGTGGCGGGGGTGTTGTTTACGAAGATGAGAGGATCCAAACCAATGGTGCACATGGGTTCCAGTATCCTGCGGGAACAAATGGTGTATGAACCAATCGTTGGTCACCGGCTACCATGGGACTGCATCTCCTCATGATGCTCCACTGCCTTGTGGATCAAACCTTTAGGTCAAAGGCTCGGGGGTGGCCTCCTAAGATAACCACCTGATTCGGCCTGGGCACCTCGGCAGTCTCACAGCCCACACACACAAATATGGTGTGGCGCATACATATTTGATGCCCTCTTGTACCAATATTTATGTGTTCAAATAAATAAATAAAACACAAATTACATTCATGTTATAAATAATTGGGTAATATGCTACCAAAACGATTTACCCCCCCTCCCATCCCTAGATCATGGTTTACCAACAAGACATCAACAAATAGAATAAATGGATGATTTAACTTGGACTTTTGTCAAGTAGTCAATATATATTGACGTGAACGTATCTCTACTGTATTTACTAATTCCTGAAACACCACAATAGTGTTAGTATATGAGACAGACAAGGTAATCTCAACGATTGAGCCTTAGACCATCAAGTATCTTGATGAATATTCTAGCTTCAGTTCAGTTTACGATAGTTGATGACTGATATCCAATGGTCAGCGCTTAAATTTAAATTTATGATCGGTAAAGTAGAATATGTCAGAAGTAAAAAAAATTATACTCTATAGTTGTAATAAAAGATGGATAGTGGTTAGCAGTGTAATTCAACATGAGACTGATCAATTGCAGTCCTAAATAACAATGCGAAGATACAAGTAAACAATATCAAGTTGACTCTATAGTTATAATTGTAAAATATTCCAATTTGGTTAAAGTTTTAAACTTGAATTACTGGTGCCCAATTCAATGATCCGATAATATGGTATTCATCATGATGCTTGAAAAATTCGTGATTACGTAACCAATAAATTCAGTTAATATGGATATTGGCTAGCAGTGGAATCCAGGACGTGCTTTTCGTCCTATTTTGGTCTCCTCACCAGCGTACATCCATGCTCCCGCCTAGCCAGGTCCGAACCCGGGACCTATAAGTCTCACATACGAGCGCTTAACCTTGAGACCATTGAGCTGGCCGGCATCCAACAGTGTTAATGTCTAACTTCAACTAATCCACGAAATTGATTTTTCTGTAAACCAATTGAAAATCCTAACCCTAATTATTTGTGTTTCGTCACTACAATCAAGTAAAGTGGTCTCCTGAAACTGTTTCGTTTCTCATTGCTACATTAAAAGTACAATTTCTTCAAAATTAGAAAGTAATTAGAACAATATGAAGTAACCTAGAAACCGCATTTTGAAGCCTGATCAACTCATCTTTATATTTAGTCTTATCCTATTAGTCAGCAACCAAGTAAATTAGTGTACTCATGACCTAAACGTTTTACATATGACCTAATTTAACCTTATAAATCGTGTAACCAAATTACCACTTTACATACATTCAGATAAATTTGAAGTCAGCAGAAGAGATTGTCAGTATAGAGTTGTGAAAGTTATTAAGTTTTTTCATTGAGATCATGAACCGATTAATGTTTGAGAACCATTGAAAACCTGGAAGCACTGAAACGGCCGTTTTTTCCTATTGTGGGCCTCGTCAGCAGTGGGCATCTACGGTCCCGCTGTGTGTTTTAACCCAGAGCCTTCAGTCCTGCGTGCGAACGCCTAACCTCTAGACCACTGAGCCGGTATTCAACGGTATTAATGTTTAATTTCAAACAATGCACGAAATCGCGCGACCATCTTTGATTATGCTGAGGTATATACTTATCTCTACCCGACACGGATTAGCTCCATTGGTCATATCATTATATGTATTGAATGAAACGGATAAAAGATTGAAAACTGATCCAACTATCTTTTTTGGTTGTAGTTGATATTGGAGAAGAATGTAATCATATTAATAAAGTATGCCTTAGTCAAAAAGCAATTTGTCTTGAAAATTCAATCAACATACGTCAAACACAACCGACAACAAATCGTAATGTAAATATTTGTGTTTGTCATGAAGGTATGATTCCAGTATATCAGAAGAATTTAGACTATTTCGAATGTTGTAAGTTAATTATTGTATAATTTGAATTAAACTTCTTTTGTTTTCAACTGAGATTTATAAACTTCCCAGTGGATATTTTGTGGTCTTATATCTGACTCCAATTCGATTGTATGATATTGTAGACAGGTTCGGCACTTTGGTTGGACCGTTCATTTTGATGTCAATTAGATCGGACGATGTTAATAGCGGGCTTACCAATTTTTTGTGACTTCAGTTGGATAATATGAATGTTTGTTGTCAAACTATACATACATCCTCGCTATCCTCGTATATTATTATCGACTTAACTTATATTGGTGAATAACGGAATTAAAATAAGTTAAATACGAGAATGGAGGTTTTGAAAACGTATATTTTGTACACATTGATCTAGACAGACGATCAAAGGGACGAAGAGAAGAGAGAGGAGCGAAATGACGCCTAATGGGGAAGGCGTGTGAACTGACTCCATTTAATCAAGCATTAACCAATATTTATAACCAGATAAAAATAGGTTACAGACATGTGATGAATAGGATAAGAAGTGCACATACATAAGCCTACATAAAACAGTCAAGGTTGATAAGTGAATAATTAACAAGGTCAAAACCTGACTCAACAAGAATGGATAAATTAGCCTGTCCAGAAGCTAGAATAAGTCATATGGGTTTAACATAGTAACCGATACACTTCAAAGTAATCTGCAATAATAAACAACTTTCGAACCATTTGTGTATTGAAGATGAAAGATTCTTATAAAACGACTGGTTTGTAATGCGGTTTCGCATTACACACTAACAACTTTTATAACCTAGAGAGTACTATACTATTGGTATGAAAATCATAAATTGTTGAATTTTAGAGTTTGCATAGCTAACTTATTTCAGTTAGACAACGACTGAAAACCAAAAATGACTTGGATGGATGTTTCGTTCTAGTATGGGGTGACTTAGTAGTGCAAATCCAAGAATCCACAAGTGATCAGACACAGAACTTACAACTCCCATAAAGAGCTGCCAACTTTCAGAACTTTAAGTGGGAATAAAGAGATTCACGTTTCTAATACCAATCCATTCAAAATATTCCACGACCACCATCCTTTAAAGATATTTTCTGACTCCTGGTATTGTTGAAGTTCATTGGTTGTGGATTCTAACGTCAGTTCCTGGAATCACCTGTCGCAGTTAGTTACGAATGAGCGCACGATTATTGTTACTACAAGAATTTGTGAAGATTTAGGAAGTTCATGGTTCGTTTCATGAATTGATCTTAATTAGACAACGGGTAGTCAAAAAATCAAACACTCACCATGTGATCTGAAAGACTTGGGTTCTATCGTTGATGGGATCATGAATTCTTACCATTGAAAAGTCTCATGCTGGGAGGAAACGTTTGTCCAGTACTCATTGATTTTTAATAGCTTTTAACGAAGATTAGCACTTAATGAAAATTATGCAACAATTTCATCCCAGAGACTGGAATTATGATTACTAGATATCATAGATTAACTCAGCTCATAAAAAGCTTGACTGCTAACGATCTAACACTGCTTTATTGAACTACTTACTTATTAAATGCAATTTAGTCAGTCAATATGACCTTAATTGTTATATGTAACGGATTTATGTTGTGGTGGATTTGCTTCGTTAAAAAATCACCTTTGTAACCGTTATTATATATAAGCCTGGACGGTGTTTGAAATGAGAAGGCAAAGAGAAGCGGCAACTACAGTTTACCAGGGGATAGCGCAGATCACAAAGCTATGAGCACATAGAGCGAATTTGAAGCGGAGTTGGCTCACATGCCTTCTCCGCTGTGCGTTATTTCTCTTCGCTTCTTCCCTCTGATTGAATGTCCAGATCAATGTATACTAAACATACGTATTCAAAATTTTGTTCTCGTTCCGTTAATCACCAACTCAAGTTAAGTCGATTATAATATACGAGAATAGCCAGGATATATATTTTGATAGCAGTCATCTACTAGCGATCAACATATGATCTAATTAGAGTCGGATCACGGGCCATTAACATGTAAGCTGATTAATCAAATGTTACTTGTGAACTATTAACTAGTGGTTAAGCGCTCGCGCACGAGACTGATATATCCTGTGTTCGAATCTGGCGAGGCGGGATCATGGATGTGCATTGCTAAGGAGTCCCACAATAGGACGTAATGGCCATCCAGTGCTTCGAGGTTTTCTATGGCTGTCTGACTTCAGCTGACTCATGATGTCAACCATTGAAATTATTCACCATTTGACGAACATGAAACAATTCATTGCGATTAATTCATAATTTTATATTTCAGCTCTTAATGTTGACAATCATATAAACCTAGTTGGTCTTAAATAATCCAACAGTATGCTCATTTATAATACACTTTCAAACTTTCTACACTTGTTAACTAAAACTAGAATCTATAAAAAATTGATAATACAGAGGAACTTCCAATGGTTACCATTTAGAAACCTTATAGTTGAGGTTAACATTTTTCACTCCATTTCAAATGTCATTGTGAAGGCAATAGAAACAACTAATGACCATGTTAATGTCTAACTTGAATCAATCAACCATATTGCACCACTGTCCACCATTTTCTTAATTCAGTAACTGTCTCACAACAGACACGGTTCAACTTCACTAGTTATGACTTCTCACTACAACTTCATCAAATCCATCTTCAACCTAGTCACTAGTCAGCACATCATAGTTATCAGTATAGGGTTGTGCACATTGTTGATTTTACATTAATATCATGAATGTTGGACGACAATTGAAAAGCTAGAAATAGTGGATAACCGTTTCGTTCTAGTATGGGACTGGTGAGTTGTGAGCATCCATGATCCCTCACGTGGGACCCGGACCCGCGACATTGAGACTCACGTGAGAACGCTTAACCTGTACACCAATCAGTCCACATCCAACCGTGTTTATGTCTAACTTCAATCAATCAACCATATTGCTACACCGTCCACGATTATCTTCCTTCATTAACTGTCTCACAACAGACATGGTTCAACTCTAATAGTCTTCCACTAGGCTTCTCATTAGAACTCCAGGAAATATCAGTCACTAGTGAGCACATTATTATTATTATCATTATTATCAGAAAGGGTTATTTTGTGGAGATTGTAGTAACTTAACAGTTGAATTTATGTATCGATTAAAGCTCGATCACCATGGAAAACTCAGAAGCACTGAAGCTTAAGCGTTCACTTACGAGACTGTAGATGCTGAGTTCGAATCTAGTCAGTGATACCATGGATACACACTTTTAAAGAGTTCCATACTACAACGAAACAACCATCCAATGCTTTTAGATTTTCCATAGTAGTCTAGCTTGTATCGACTTATGAATTCAACTCTTCAAATCCCAACATTCTCCACAAACCACACCCCCCACCCTCTTTTCTAATAAAAAAGTGATGTAACTGAAATCCAATTCTATTCATTGTACAATAATTATCTAACATCTTAGTTTCTTTTTTTTCTATTCTTTCCTATCTCTTCATATTAATTAAATGATTATCCCTTAGTTATTGTTATTTATTATAAACTATCCATATAAACTGATATGTTACTACTCAATTATTATTATTATTATTTCTATCCAAGTTTTGCTTCATTTAGACAGTTGCTATGCTACATAATAATAATACTAGTAATAGTATTGATAATACAGCAACAACAACAACAACAACAACTACTACTACTACTACTACTACTACTACTACTAATAATAATAATAATAATAATAATAATAATAATAATAATAATAATAATAATAATAATGACACCAGTTTGAAATTAATCAGTTAAAATTAACAAAATAGATTGAATCTATAGGTTAGTAAGTGGAATCATCAACTTCATATAGAGATATATGGATATACCGAGGGGGGGGGGTGGAGGGGGGAAGCATGAGAAAAACTATTTATAAATCAATAAATTAAGTTTCTTAGCCATCTATAATTTTGTTGTTGTTGTTGTTGTCAATTTGATGAATTGATTTAAGATTGTACAAATTCTGTACTCATAGAATAGAAGCATCGTCGATATGATTCAGTTTGAAGTGAATTTGAAATGATATAAGACTATACATGTTATAACTTATGCCCTGTGTCCTATTAATCTAGAACGTAATGATATAGTCGATTAAAGAACAGTGATGAATTGACCAGACCAATGATGCATAAAACCTGTAAGAGCAGTCTAGAGTCCTTATCGGTCCTGCTTCACGCCTAGCCCTGACTGTCAGGTTCGAAACACCAATCTCAGCCTGTGCGATATGAATCATGTATTTCAAACATACTGTATTTATACATTTGTACAAGATTTAGCCGAACGTGGCTAAATGTGAATGTAGGAGACTTTCATCAATAAACTGCGCTTAACTCAAGAACTGTTATTCGTATAATAATAGTTCATAGGTCAAAATAAAACTCCTAATAAGAGAGACACGAATATGAATAGTTTAGTTAATTAACAATTATACGATAAAAATATACGTATAGTATTGATCGATAAATGGATTCCAAAAGTTACCAATAATTATTCTCATCAGGATATAACAAAATTACCACTAGTAACACTACTGTGGTTATCTTCTCAACTTTCTACCTCTAGACATCCTACTTTCTAATGCTGGTACATACTACATATATCTGTCGAAATCAGTAGTACATACCACACTACTACAACTACTGTGGTGTGAGCTACTTATATCCACATAAGTAATATATAACGATAGTCAGGAATAGAATGTATTTCAGTGGAAGATCGAGAAAGAAAGAAATAAGGAATGGGAATAGAAAGTAACTGGTATGAAAATACAGGGAAACTGAAATCTGAGACGATGAACTTTCATAATAAGTGGAACACGAATATGAATAGTTTAGTCACTTAACAAGTATACAATAAAAGTATATGTATAATATTGTTCCATAAATGGATGTTAAATGTTACCATTCATTATTCTCATTGGGATATAACAGTACATCACTATGGAGTTTCACATCATGATTATTATATGACTCATATATAAGTTAAATCTTATTTAGGTCATTAGTTGTAAATTACCATTAGACAAATAGTATTAAACTATGAGAATCCAATTTCTCAGTTTTTTTTCACTAAATTAACCTGAATGCTATAAAGTACAATCATTGTCAGGTCATTGATGTACCCTGTTGAATAGTTTCAAATCAAGATAAATAAAACACCGTTGGATGCCGGCCGACTTAGCGATCTACAGGTCAAGCGTTCACGCACCAGACCGATAGGTTCTGGGTTGGAATGCTGCGAAGCGGTATCGTTGATGAGCACGGCTAAGGAGTCCCATACTATGATGAAACGGATATCCAGTACCTCCAGGTTTTCCATGGTTGTCTAGCTTCAAGTGACTCATGAATTCAACTATAAAATTACTAAAATCTGTACACAATCATTTCTGATAAAAATACTTCATTTGCAAAACGTCAATCAGTCGTCTCAGACTTCATCATTCTGTCGTTTCCACACCAACCATTCTTTGTTCTCGTTCTCTGTTCTTTGATCTTTATAACCTTCTGTCGCCAGGTATTTCACTTTCAATTGCTAATACATACTGCTTTCATCTGTCAACATCAGTAGCACGCACCACACAAAAGTAATTCTATTTTCCAGCACAACCGATGATTATAAAAAAAATACATTAATTTTTCACACATTATATGATGATTACTATATAAGCTATATTGCTATGTAGAGCTGAAGGTTTCATATGAAACTGGAGGTTCGTCATTGGTATTGTGAATGATTGAGCATTACTTTGACAAGTTTTATTGAATGTTCATGCACAAAATCAGCTTGCTGGTTAACCGATTTCATTCATAGCGCTGACTGCTTTGCAGCCTTCTCAAGGGCCATTATTATTGAAACACTGTAAAGCATGTCGCCATTGCAAACATTAATAAGCTTGACTGTCGTGTAAATGGAATAGGTCAACATTGGCCTGTTCGTGCTGTGCATAATTGATTCACGCGATTATTGATCGGAATATTTATACATATAATGTATAGGTGTATATAAATGGTACGAATAGTTCATCAGGGTGTTGTGTACCTGTATGATCGCGCCACAGGATTAATTTGTACCATTCAGATTGTAGCGTTAAAGCCTATGTGGCATCTGGTTCTCTATTGAAGCGGTTATAAAGTTTAAGCTGAGACGATATCTGAATCTCTCGTTAAACAGGATTGAGATTGTCACATGAAAGTCTAGATGGTATCTAATTCTCTTAATACAATCTCGACATGAACCCTTCTTTGATTATAATCTGTTATCTATACTCTTTTCTTTTCTTTTTATATAAAAAAAAAACAGTTATCGAAGAAACTGATCCAACGATTATTGATTGTCAACATTGTTATCAATCAAATGGGAAATGTTATCGATTTAATATTGGATCAATCAATCGAATACAATATCAATATAGTTGTTCATGTTCATTATTTAAACAAAATGATCAATCATTTAGTGATTATTATTATTCTTATCCATATTATTTAGATATAAATTTGAATAATAAAAAAATCAATATTGAATCTGATCAGGGATCTGAACCAAGAAAACAATTATCAAGGTTTCATATAAAAAGAAAAGATTGTATAGAATATTTATGTAAGTGTTTATGGTTTGAAAGTTGATTAGTGTTGTTTTACTTGGATCTTCTCATTGATACGTTAGGATTGTAATTGATGAGTCTGTAATATATGGATTGCATTGATATTGCCTCAATCCATAAGCATTCTAAGGAAAGATGGATAGCGGCTAGTAGTAGAATAAAGAACGGGTGTTTCGTACTCTTTGGGACCCGTCAGCTAGATGTACTTACATCTCACAGTTGATATTCACTCCAGCACTCGAACACAATATTGTTCACTTCAAACGCTATTTCGTTATCCACTGAACTACTGAGTTCTCATAACCACTAGCTTGTACAATGTGGTCAAGTTTAAATTCATTTTGTATTGTTTACTTGAATGTTCCGATTGATGTGTTCAGACTGCAATTGATTAGTCTCTTATTGGCATATGCGCAATATGGTGTACAGATTGCCTCGATATAGCCTTATTTCACAAGCATTCTAAGCACATCCCATTGCGCAAGCAAGTGATTATCAAGACTCAGTAGCTGAGCGGATAACGCGATGGTATTTTGAAGCGAACGATATTGGGTTTGAGTCGCAGAGTGAACATCAATTTTGAGATGAAGGTATATCCGGCAGACGAGTCCCAAATAGAACGAAACGTGCATCGTGGATCCCATTACCAGCCACTATCCATCTTTGTTTATAATGTTGAATATTGTATTGAATATTGCGCACCATTGAGGAGTTCTACGATAGGACGAAACAGCAGTCCAGTGCTTCCAGGTTTTCCATGGCGGTTTAGCTCCAGTTGACCATTGAAATTACTATAATATCCGCAAAACTCCTTCTGATATGAATAATCAAAAGCTCAAACTTATAGTTAGTAAAGTCTCGTAGCTTTATCAGTAAATATAACAGTAACTGAAGAAAAGAAATGTCTGTACAACTGCATATATTTTTAAAGACTTAGCCAAACACTTATATGATGTAAATGGTTTCTAGTTGTAAGTGATTGATTCTAATTGGTAGAAAAGTTTGTGCCCAGATATTATAATAACTGTCACTTGTCAACAAGGTGTATATACAATAATAAGAGAATAGATATTACCTGTGAAATTTGAACCGACGTCACCTTGTGTCCCAATCACTTACGTACTGACTTACTGGGAATATAGTGCCACCTATGACCAGTTCATTGAAGGCGTATAGGTTTGCAAATCTCTCACTATTTTCGTTTCTTTCTCCTAGTCCATGTCGTCCCATGATGTCTTCATATCCGGTGTTGTCCATTCCAACGTTGGCATTTAGGTCTCCCATAAGGATGGTCAAGTCCTTTGTTGGGCACTTCTCGTATTGTTGGTCTTTACCGTCTTCATTGTAGTCGTTGGTAGGTGCATAGCATTGGATGACGTTCATTGTAATGCCCTCTTTCTTTGTTTTAAAGAAGGCTTTGATGATCCTTGGTCCACGAGATTCTCATCCTATAAGTGCATTTTTTGCTTGTTTGGATAGCATCAATGCAATTCCTTGTGTATGTGGAGCATTTTTTTCTTCATGGCTGGAGTATAACAGCAGCTCTCCTGCAGCTAGTCTTTGTTGTCCAAACTGCGTCCAATGTGTTTAACTGATTTTAAGTATCTCCAGGTTGTATCTTTTGTATTTTTGTAGGAATTTGGAAGGTCCTCCCGGTCTCTTACATTGTAGGAACATTCGATGTACCTTAATTAATGGTTCCTTTGGTTGTCAGAAGGGGCATCAGACTCGTGAATTTCAAAAGAACTCGGCTTTCATCATGAGGTGTCATAACTATTCTAAATGAAGACCCTCTGATTGCCAAGGCAGAGTTTAATTGGTTTGAATAATTTTTTCTGGTTAGCGTTATTCTAGTGAGTTAGTCTTCTACTGGGTGGGGTCGCTAACCTCATGCCCAACTCTCCTTCTTCATCCAAACTTGAGATCGGCAGCAGCACCAGAGGGGCTCCAGACGGAGTTGTGTCCTAATCGCAGATGTGATTTTGTTCGAGCTATCTCAGAGTTGTTATTAGAACTGATATTTCTGATTGACTGTTTACAAACTATTACGAAAGAACGTTAAAGAGGTATAATATATTTGTAAAGAAAGAACTTTGGTCATCTTGATTTATTAACTAAGAATATTCGGTTTAAAAGAAATTCGAACAGTCAACTATTCTTCATTTCAAGTAACTGAACTAGAGTTGAGGTAAAACTAAATCTCCTAATTTTCATACTTCTGAACATTAATATTTTGAAAACAGACCAATAGTGTTGTTGTTACGCCCGTTATCCTTCATGGAGGAGCATAAACCGGCCACCAGCATTCTCCATCCAACTCTGTCCTGTGCACTCCTTTTCATTTCTTTTCAGTTGTTATTCATCCTTTTTATGTCTGCTTCCAATTCTCTACTCAGTATGTTCTTTGACCCTCCGTTCTTTCGTTCCCCTTCAGGATTCCGAGTAAGCGTTTGTCTCGTGATGTAGTTTGATGATTTCCGTAATGTATATCCTATTCACTTCGAACATCTTTTCGTAATTTCCTCTTCAAATGGAAGGTAGTTTGTTCTCTCCCACAGCAGGTTATTGCTGATGGTATATTGTCAACGGAAATTCAGTATCTTACGTAGGCAGTAGTTTATAAATACTTGAGCATTTTCGATGACGGTTGTTGTAGTACTCAGAGTTTTATCTCCATACAATAGAACTGTCTTGATGTTCATATTGAAGATTGTGACTTTGATATTGATTGACAGTTGCTTTGAGTTCCATATGTTCTCTAATTGTAGGAATGCTGTCTTTAATTTTGCCAATCCTTGCCTTTACGTTCACATTAGATCCTCTTTGTTCATTTCTCATTTTCCTTTCTTCTTTTTATTAGTACAGATTACATGTAATCAAGAAAGTATTCATATCTGTTTTAAAAATCCATATCAAACATCAATGATAAGAGCCAATCATAGATCACGAAGCATTCAAGTCTACTTGGATGCATCAAGGATCTATCCTGAATTCATTCAACATGAATTCAACTATTCTATAGATAATCAAAAATGTTACTTAATCAAACAGAATAAACATAATAATGATGAATATTGTTTATTAGTTAATTTTAATCAATTCAATGAATTGAGACAATGTGGAATTTATGAAATAAGTTATATGGTAAGAATGATTTGTTTATTTGTATTTAAAGTGTTTAATTGATTAAATTCTCAATAGTTAAGAGGGTAAGACGTTCGAACACGAGACCGAAGGTTTTAAGTTCTAATCCTGCTGGCAGGTGGGATCGTGGATGTGTATTGTTGAAGAGTCCTATAATGGGATGAAAAGTGCATCGTGCATTCCACTCTTAGCCACTGTTACGTCCTTGATCTGTCTACCCACTTTTAGTGCTGAGGACAACTTGATTGAGATCATGAACCGATTGGTGTTAGACCACCATTGAAAACCTGGAAGCCCTGGACGGCCGTTTTGTCCAATTGTGGGACTCCTCAGTGGCAGTGCGCATCCACGATCCCGCTTGCGGGATTCGAACCCAGGGCCTTCAGTCTCGCGCGCGAACACTTAACCTACTGGAACACTCAGCTGGCACCCAATGGTGTTAATGTCTAACGTCAACCAATCCACGAAATTGCGCAACCATCTTCCATTGTAATGAGGTAGACACCTGTTTCTACGTGACAAGGATCAGCTCTACTGGTCACGGCTTCTCACAAGAACTCCGAGAATTTTCTCACAAAGCTAGTCACTAGTGAGCACATGGTCTAACATCAATCGGTTCATGATCTCAATAAAAAACTTGACAATCTCCACAACCCCTAAACTGCTAAATTGAGACCTTGACGCGATATGTTGACTGGTTTAACCTTGAGGCTAGTACGTATGAGTTTGAAGTGGGGTAGAAAGAAGAAAACTATTCTATCACCTGATTGACTGACAAGTACGCGAGTAAGAGAAGACCAGTCAACTGGGACACTACTTGATTAATTCTCAATCCCAATCTGGTTCCCGATTTCCCGATATCAGATCAGTGTAAAAAGATACATGAATAAATAGATGACTAACCCGACCACAGCGCACATGATTTAGGAAAATACAATCATGTCCAAAACTGGGAATCAGCGTAGAAAATAGTGTGCAAAATATTATGTTTAAATTACAATAGCTTGGGAACAAAAAGGGCTATGGCAGTGAATCATACATCAAACGAAAGCCTATAATCTGTAGAATAGACTAGGGACAAAGATAAATGTTAATGTTTTACAAGCTTTGAATAAAATGGAATAACGTCCCGAAAAATTAACTTTTGTAATTTGTCAAGGCTTCTCGTTTCTCTGTTGACATCACCACTATCCATCTTTGCTTATGATGATTTTGAAATAAGGCAATATCGAGGCAATCTGTACACCATATTGAGCATATGCCAATAAGAGACTAATCAATTGCAGTCTGAACACATCAATCGGAACATTCAAGTAAACAATACAAAATGAATTTAAACTTGACCACATTGTACAAGCTAGTGGTTATGAGAACTCAGTAGTTCAGTGGATAACGAAATAGCGTTTGAAGCGAACAATATTGTGTTTGAGTGCTGGAGTGAATATTAATTGTGAGATGCAGATATATCCAGATGACGAATCTTAAATAGGGCGAAACGCGCATTGTTGATTCGTGTTTATATTATCAGTCAGTAGAATATTTGATAAGACTCCACCTTATGTAATCACTCAATCTACATGATTAAGTACTGTTGATTAGTGTCAAGTCTTTTGAGTAAAATCGTTCATCTTTTCAAATGAAATCAGTAGTCAGTTAATTTAGTGGTCAACATGAAATCGAAATCTCTTGCTCAAGTCACGTATTGTTAGCTATATAGTTATATAATATATCCTTGTGGGCCAGGGTAATTTTACATTTGTTTTCAGGAGAACCAGACACTATCGAGACTTTCGCGTGACAACCTAAACAGCACAGGTCGATCCGGTTTAACAGGAGGGCCAGACATCGCCCAGGCCTAAGTTTTATAATCCGAGCAGTACAGCTCAATCCCGCTTCACAGGAGAACCAGATACCGTATAGGCTTAAACGCTACAATCGGAATAGCACAGCTGAATCCTGCGCGCAACCACACAAGTACCAAGCACTTTGGTAGACCACGTATTGTATGTAGAGCGAACTAACCAACATAAATCATATTTAAGTTAAAATACATAGCACTGTTATTACATAAATGCATTTTGCATGTCAAGCTGAATCAGGGTATACTAAAGGTTTGGATAAGTTTCTTTTGTATACATAGTTCCAATTTTTGTCAGATACAATGGCAAATGAAAGTTGTTCCTGTCGATTGTTCCTAAAATTGATCGGCTAGAGAATACTAAACGCAATGTTGCTGAGAGAAATGCTATTTTAAGAGATCCAGAGATTCCTCTCTCTAGGCTGTCAATAGTTTCGTTACCCCTGTAATCTATGTTTACCCAAATTATTGTCGTTTATACGGAGGTCTTCGATATTTACGATGGTCTGTATTTAATATTCTTGTTATAAATCCTCGATTAGATACCCATTTTCAACAAGTATTCTCCTTAGGAGATTGGAGCAATTCTGCAGCAATTTGGAAGGCTCTGCCGGTCTCTTACATTGTAGGAACACTCAATGTACCTTAATTAATGGTTACTTTGTTTGTCAGAAAAGGCATCAGACTCGTGAATTTCAAAAGAACTCGGCTTTCATCATGAGGTGTCATAACTATTCTAAATGAAGACCCTCTGATTGCTAAGGCAGAGTTTAATTGGTTTGAAATAATTTTTCTGGTTAGCGTTATTGTAGTGAGTTAGTCTTCTACTGGATGGGGTCGCTAAACTTATGCCCAACCGTCTTCCTTTATCCGGACTTGGGACTGACAGTAGCCCCATAATAGCTCCAGATGGAGTTTTCTTAGGAAATCGGAAGTGCAAACTATTTGTACTGAGAGATATGAGTAAATTTCCCCTTCTACCAAAAAGAAACACCTGTGGAAGTTTGATGGCCGATTATTTCATGATAATATTCTATGAATCTCCTGACAGTCCTATCGGATATACTTTGTCTGTTTTTAGGTTCAATTATGAATTTCATTGACAGATAACAGTTGTCAATAGTCATAAAGGATAAACGTATCACTGAAAATGAAAAAAATATTCTACTAAGCGGTTATTATACTGCGTTAAAAATCACTTTTTGTATTTCATCCTAATAATCTTAACTTTCTTTTTATATTTTTTTGTAGTATGGATCTGTATTTTATGGCACATTACATGCTGAAATTGCAAAGAATGAGGTTTCATTACTGAGAAACGTTCATATTGACTTTGTTTGTCATATCAATGTTTCCTATTTGAATGGATCAAATCTATCTACTTCATATTTCTATGACAGGTAAACTACTTATGCGCACATATATATATATATATGTTGCCAAGATTTAATAAGATATAATGCCTGTGTTTGTTGGGTGATTTGAATTTTTATTTCTACTTGTAATATACTGTTTCCGATAGACTCCTTAAAACTTGTCTCCACTTTTATTTCAATCATTTGTGCTACTTAATACTAATAAAGTAGTTCAAACTATAACGAAACATTTCTTAAGCTTATCTGGTGAAACTCTACTTTATGGACGACCTTTGAACGAATTTTTAAGTGACCTTGAGGACATTAGCCAATCAGAAGAGAGTTAGTATAAAGTAAAAATATATATAAAAAAGTGATGAATTACAATGGATATTCTTCTTTTACATTATTTAAGAACTTGTTGAGGTTTGATAAAGGTTCAGAAGTTTTGAAATCATAGTGGACGCGGTATAAGAACTCGTCCATATGACTCCATAATAATCGTCCTCTGGAGCCGTAGTAGGAAATTAAAAAATACTTCAGCCTAGACCACATGCCCTCAATGTTGTTTGTATGGACCCCCGTCGTTGGGTCAACAAAATGACGTTTGTGCACCACAACATGGTGCACAAAACCAAGTCTCGAGAGGCATCTATACGCTTTCCAATCATCGGTATAGCCGCAGCTAATGTTACTGGAGACTTTATGATCCAATTTGCAATGAATATCATGGTTTGTCTTAGCCTTAGCCGTGACCGGGCAAAAAAAGTGCCAGTTCGAGCAGATTTTATTCTACAACATATAGTACAACGAAATACAATGTCATCGCGGCAGTCTGCACATCGTGCTGCGGTCATTTAATTGCCGCAGTCACATACACAGGAACTTCTTAACAGTGCCATCTGCTGTAGTCTCTCAACGATCACCTATTCTCTAAAATCTGCTGTAAAACGATCGAATGTGAGCATCTGGCATTGAACTTAGCGCCGTGACCTTGAAACTCCTTAGACGCTTCTGATTGGCTCGTCCATAAATTAGAGTCCTACCGCTTATTTATTGAAAGTAGTTGGATTCTTTTAATTAAAACGAACTGCTTACATTCAGACCTCAATGTGACGCTTCATTTTTTTAAAATTTCAAACGGCATTTCTGAATGTTTTGCTTACTTATTTTGCATGTGCGATGTACTCCTCAAAAGTTTATCTTCAAACGTTATGCTTATTATCGAAAGGCTGTTTAATTTACTTTCTTTGCGCAACTGTGTATCGGAATGCGCTTAATCGACACACATTAATTTAGACTTTACTGTTATTGTTGTAAATGAAACTAATACAAATAGACTGATCGCGTCTCTTGCATAAGGGACTTTTGCGTAGTAATTTGGTCATTCAGTTGCAAATTATGTTTACTTACTTACGCTTGTTACGCCCAATGGAGCGTAGGCCGCCGACCGGAAATCTCCAACACACTTTGTCCTCCGCCTTCCTTTCTAGTTCTATCCAGATCTTGTTTATTCTTCTCACTTCTGTCTCCACTCCTCGGCGTGGTGTGTTATTTGGTCTTCCTCTTCTCCCTTGTCCTTAAGGATTCCAAGTGAGGGTTTGCCTTCTGACTCAGTTGGGTGCTTTCCTCAATTTGTGTCCTATCCACTTCCAGCACTTCTTCCTCATTTCTTCCTCCATAAGAATCTGGTTTGTTCTCCCGCATAGTAGGTTGTTGGAAACTATGCACCACTTGACAATGTATACGAAACAGAGTTTGTTGACAAAGACTATCTCGGACAATCTAATTGGCAAATAACCAACTATCATTTAATCTTCTGTATGTAGATATTATGTGATTGACAATTTCATCTCACCAATGAGTTAGTTCCTCTATAAGTCAATACAGGAATGTCAAAAATAGTTCAGATATTACAAATCTTTCCTCTAACAAGTTTTAAAATATCCATAATCCTCTCATTCGTTTTTGTTCTCAAAGATCGATCACCTTTAAAAAAAGAAATGGTCAGCTGAATTTATCGCAAAAATCACCGGGAATCAACAATCTCCTCCCAACGAAGTACATCGAAAAGCAAACTTTTCAAAAAGAAACAACACGAAATACTAATCTCAGTTCAATATCTTTGTCCATAATTAACTTAACCAAAAATATTTCGCAAAATCATGAAATGACATTAAAAATCTCTTCATCATTATCTGGTAAGAAATTTAAATCTAGACTTTTTTGTTCAGCTATTTGCAACTATTCAATTGATAGTTAAGTTCATGAGTCAGTTGAAGCCAAACAACCATGGGAAACCTGAAAGCACTGGATGGCTGTTTCGTCCCACTGTGGGACTCCTCAGCAATGCTGTTGGGGACGATAGATCCCCAAAACTCATATTTTGTAATTTTATCATATCGATTAACTTATCGATTAAATGTTTAAATATTTGAATGGCAGTCAATTGATGAAACTATCGATTAAATATTTAAATGCCTGTTGATTGATGAACCTATTGATTAATGTTCAAAAACATTTTACTATGACAATATCGATTGTAAATATTTGTATAAATACGCTTGACTTGTGTGCTTAACCTGACTTGATATCTGCTGTTTGCCTGTAGAATACACTTTCTACGCTCCACCCAGACTTCTTGATCGCGTTAGCTGAGTCGGGTACAACGGACCAGAATAGCCTGTCGAGATTCTGAATCCCTTGATCCGATCGATAAGTCACTGTCCTCTAATCGGTGGCCTCTTTGGGGTATAACAAATGCCCATTCACGATCCCGCCCTGAACCCAGGACTGTCAGTTCGCAGAAACCCTTTCTAATAATCATCATCATATGCTCGTTGGTGACTGGCTTCAAGAGGCATTTCTTGGAGTTCTAGAGAGAAGCAGTGACCAGTAGAGTTCAACCAGGTCTGTTGTGAGATAGTAGTTCATTGAAGACAATGATGAACAGTGGCTCAATTTCGTGAATTGGTTGAAGTTAGACATTAACACCGCTGTACGCCGGCCGGCTCGGTGGTCTACAGTTTAGGCGCTCGCACGCGAAACCGATAGCTTCTGGGTTGGAATCCCGCAAGGCAGGATAGTGATTGTGCCCTGCTGAGGAGTCCCAAAATAAGACGAAACGGCCGTCCAGTGCTCTCAGGTTTTCCATGGTTATCATTTAATCTTTTGCATGCATATTTTACGCGACTGACACTTTCATCTCAATAATGAGTCAGTTCCTCTGTACGTCAATACAGGGAAAATTCATGAACCCAACTATTAAATTACTATAATATCTCCAAAATCCCTCTCTGATTATAATACCTAATTTGTTAATTTTTTTTCTTCAATTTATTTAGAATTCATATTAATAGAATATTGTTTGGTCAAAGGTCAATCGATTCCTTCCAAAATACTGCCAACATATGAACACGAAAAACTCTTAGATTTAAAGTACGTACGTACTTACGAAGTAGACAGCAAGTTTAAACAAATACTCTTGTGATATATGATTTGAAATCTTAACACTATTAGCACGTTTTCATGCCTGTCTACTTATCTGAACATCGTAGTATTGAAGAAAATGAAATCTATTTGTCAGAGACTTTAGAGTTAATGAAAAACTTCTGGCCTGAGTCAACACCTGAACTAAGGATAGGAAGTAAAGTAGTCGAACGCGTTGACAACTTCACTTATCTTGGAAGTCTGATCAGCCCTAATGTGTTGGTGTCTGACGAAATCTCAGCACGTATTCGAAAAGCTCGATTGGCTTTTGCCAACTTACGTCACCTATGGCGAAGGCGAGATATCCGTCTATCAATAAAAGGACGAGTATATTGTACAGCAGTCCGTTCTGTTCTACTTTACGACTGCGAAACATGGCCACTAAGAGTAGAAGATATTTGTGAGCTACTAGTATTTGACCACAGATGCCTTAGAGATATTGCTCGCATCTTCTGGGATCATCGGGTAAGTAATAGTGAGGTTAGACGCAGGATATTAGGGAATGATGGTAAATCAGTTGATGAGGTTGTGAATCTTCATCGACTGGGATGGTTGGGTCACGTGTTACGTATATCTGAACACCGATTACCATGACGTGCAATGCTGACTAGTGTTGAGGATGGTTGGAAGAAACTTGTGGGTGGCCACATCAAAACGTGGTATCATTGCTTGAAGTAACTGACTTCTAGTCTGAGTCATGTTGGTAGATGCAGACTACATGGTTGGGGTCCGCGTGACTATCGTAACCAATGGTTTGAGACTGTGCGTGACATGGCTCAGAATCGATCACAATGGCTCAAGTGTATACATTTTCTGTCTTCCTTTAAACCATGAGATTAAAACTACTTTGTATCTTTCTTTCTACGAACTAATTCTTTCCCTCTTTACTATATCCTTACATGAAATCTTTCCTTTGTATATTACACCATTGAGTTAACTGCTTCTATGAATCCAGTGTTCGTCTTGTTGTGCTAATGAGGTATGGCGACTTGAACAGACGCATATATATGCCTGGTCCTACATTGTAACTGACTGCCTGACTAACAACTAATCTTTTCTAGTTCAAACGAACGACTTCATGAATAATGCCTATAATTTTAATAGAACGTTTATAAAAGCAGTTTGATCTGAACATAATATACATCAATGACTGACAATATTCAAGAATTAGTGAAAACCAGAGAAGATTAGACAGTAGTTTCATTCTAATGTGAGACTATTCAGAATGAAGAATGCACCCAAGACCTCGTTGAGGAAAGAGTCCACGAATTCAAGTTTCACAGAGAGCACATTTCCTCAAAGATATTGGTTTATAATCTTAAATCGATACACAAGAAAAATGACATGTCACAAATATATAAAAAGGCCAGACTATAATTTATAGACGAACCAATCACGTATAAGATAACAGGTCTCAGAATTTGGCTCGAAATTCATTCATCCATTTGGCTAAATAGAGTTTTGGCATTAAAACTGTTATCAGTTCGTGATGAAAACCCTAAATCTAATTCGTTACCTTAACCATCAACTGTAAATCATAGTTCGAATTCCTCATATTAGTTTATAACCCTCATTTGGTTCTAGTTATTAGGTGGACACTCAAGGTCACCCTACCATCACTCAAAGGCCGTCCATAAATTATAGTCTTACCTATAAGAGTTTATATAAATAAAAACCTTATGTTTTGCCTAGTATCGGAATAGTTTTTGACCAAGGATCTATGGTTAATAAATAGTGCCGACTGAATACTCTCTCTCTCTCTCTTTAACACATAAACACAGTATTTGACTGAGAATCGAATGTACAAATCTGTATTTGATTAGTTACTAAATCCTTTGAACTGGTATAGATACTAGTTCGATAGTGATTGATTTTAGCTGATAGATAACAGTGTTACCAAACGTATGGTAATCCAGAAATTACTATTTCTAATCAAAGTCTATCATTCTTTGAAGAAGTCGTCAGCGATTAGAAAACTATCGGAAACAATTCGATTAGTAATAGCTCTTCAGAAAGTTCTAGAAGTTTAAATACGGACTGATTATCTTTTAATTATTCTTATTAGACAATAAGTCTATTTGTTATTATACACTTTTTTTTCCCAGAAACTTCTTACGAATCCATTTGGTTTCAATGAATTCACTAACTTTTAATTTCTTGTAGAAGTTTGTGACATCTGGGGGTTAACAATCGGTTACAGAGTCATTATGTAAGCATTCAAGTACAAGACGTATCGAAATACGATCACGGTAGAGGAACTCGTCCATATGGCTCCATAATACTCGGTCTCTGGAGCCATGATAAGATCGAAAAACGATACACATCACTAAGTCTGTGAAGGCATTCGTACGCTCTCTAATCATTCGTATATATTGTAGTACCTGAATTCAGTCAGTGTTACTGGTGCTTTTATTATCCAGTTCGCAACAATTGTCATAAATTGCCTCAATCTCAATGTGAATCGATTGAAAAAATCCTATACTAGCAGAATTCTTCCTCCAACATATATTACATAGAGAGACAATATCATCACGGTAGTTTACACAAGTAACCACAAGTCATTTGATTACAACAATCACAAATAAAGGAGCTTCTTAGTGGTCCCATTTGTTATAGCCGCTTAGTTATCACGTTTTCTCTGAAATCCGCTCTGAACCGATTGTACTTTAGCATCAGTCACTGAAATTGGCGCCATGACCTTGAAATCCCTCAAATGCTTCTGATTGGTTCGGCCATAAATTATAGACTTGTCGAAATTACTAGTAATTGATATATGTCATAGAGAGAACTGTCGCTCAAACTTGAAGTGATTAAACACCAATCTAAAATTCACAATTTTTATACAATTTGGCAGCGCATTTTTCTGTGATTTAATGAATTTTAATTGGAGGTGTTCTAGAAATATCCCTCGTCAAAGTCTGTAGGCTCTAAGAAGCGCCAAAAACATGTTTGATCAAATCAACGTACAATAGAATCTCCTAAGAAACATCTAGGAAATGCAGAATTACATGTCATGGTTTTAGTTGGATAGTTACCTATGATATTTCTACATTTAGTGTAGATCCAGAAATTTCCAGAGGACCAAAGCTGTTTTAGATGGAGTTTTTTTCTCTGAGTTGGATGGTTTACCCGTGTAGTATTCATTGTTATTCTAAACAATGTCATCAGCAGAAACTTCAGGTAGAAGTGAAATGTTCCAATTTCATCACATATAGCTCACAGCTTGTTCTGTAGACCTCGATGATGATTGGTTATTGTCGACCGTAAACCTGTCATTGTTTACTTCTTTGTTGATGTCGTTCACAAGAACGATGAAAGCTCCACGAGCAAACCATCCAGCTCAGAGAACAAAACTCCATCGAAACCATCTACCTGAGCTACAAATTTTCTCCAACTTTTCAAGACCAAAGTTGTGTGTACCCATATAAATACCCTCATTTCTCCGTCCATCAACTGATCCCTCAGTAAAGCGTTCTTTTCTCACTTTGCATCTTGTCTCTTCTTTTCAAGTTTCCAAGTAGATTTAACCTGAGATTATTAGCAAGTATATAAGAAATCAGATCGACCGTTCACTTACTGGAATTCTTAGTTTTTAATGGCATTTTTTTCTGTGAGCTGGATGCTTTGCTCGTATAGCTTTCATCGTCATTCTGAAAAATATCATCAGCATAAACTTCAAGCAGAAGTGGAATGTTCTAATTCCATCACATATGACTCACAGCTTGTCCTGTAGACTTCGATCTGGATTGGTTCTTGTTGACCATTAACGTGTCATTGTTTATTTCTTTATTTTGGTTGTATCTCTCATTAGTTTGATTCTTGGTCCTATATTTGTCCATAATTTTTCTGATTGGTTAATAAATTGGATCGATCTCAATGTGTTTGTAGATTGCTGATTGATCTGAGTGCCAAGCTTCTAAAAATTCTCTAGTGTATTTAGAATTGCCTCTATTCAAGATCTCATCAATTTTCCAGTCGAATGTGTGTCCACAGTTATCCACATTCATTGATGTAAGTGAGCATATGTCATAGCGTTTGACCGCTAGTTGATGTTCATGTAGGCGAAGATGAAGAGGGCGTTTACTTTGTCCGATGAAGTGTTTAACTCAGTTGGAACAATTTATTTTGTAGATGATGTTCAGTTTTCCTTCTTTTGTCATTTCATCCCTTGGTTTGCATAGGATTGGTTGCAGTGGTTTTGTTGGTTGGTGTGTTACACCTACTTTGAAAGGCTTAAACAATCTCGTCGTAGTTCATGATGTGCCTTTTATACATTGTAGAATGATCCATTTGTTGGTTTCTGTACTTGATTTTGTCTCTGATGATGCATTTGGCTGATATATTTGGATGAAGTTGATTGAGTAACCGTTCTTCTGATAGATGATCTTCAGGTATTTTACCGCGCTGCAAGTGTATTACAGTGTGTTCTCTCCCTCTTGAACAGAGATTTTACGCAGTTGATTTCGTGAGCTCTTGGGTTATTACTACACTAATTGAAAACTTGATCTGTGTAGGTCGCCTTCCGACATATTGGAGTCTCCAGTTTTCCTATGTCAGTTCTGATGATTAATACATCTAAGAATGGTAGTTTATTGTTCGATTATTGTTCCATTGTGAAGTTGTTGTCATCGAAGACGTGAATGATCAGATTGTAGGTGTTTTCCAGCTCATACTTTTCGACGATGACGAATGTGTCGTCCACATAACGAACCCAAATGTTTTTTTTAAACGAACTAATTAATAACACTACTCAACTTAAAAATAGTTGACAACGTTGAAGATGTTAATCTACACAATAATAATTACCATTCCTATAGCCTTTCTAAAACTGTTTCTGTTATTTTATCAAAAATAATATTGTTGTAACTTGTGGGTTTGTGACCCTATCAATATATAACGTAGCGATACCTTCAATTAGAAAACAGTGAATTATGATGCATAAAACCTGTATGAGCAGTCTAGAGTCCGTAGCGATCCTGCTTCCCCGCCTACCCAGCCTATTAAGTCCAGAACACCAGTCTCAGTCACTGCAATATGAATCATTATATTTCAAACGTACTGGGTTTATATACAAACCAAACAGATCACATCACACCATAAGATAGGAAACAACATTCGTACAAGATCTAACCAGAAGTGGATGTGAATAAGGGAGATAGTAAATGATAGACAGAGCATAATTCAAGTATGGTAAATCGTATAATAATAGTTCATAGGTCAAAATAAAACTCCTAATAAGAGAGACACGAATATGAATAGTTTAGTTACTTAACGATAAAAATATACGTATAGTATTGATCGATAAATGGATTCCAAAAGTTGCCAATAATTATTCTCATCAGGATATAACAAAATTACCACTAGCGCTACTACTGTGGTTATCTTCTCAACTTTCTACCTCTAGACATCCTACTTTCTAATGCTGGTACATACTACATATATCTGTCGACATCAGTAGTACATACCACACTACTACAAGTACTGTGGTGTGAGCTACTTATATCCACATAAGTAATATATAACGATAGTCAGGAATAGAATGTATTTCAGTGGAAGATCAAGAAAGAAAGAAATAAAGAATGGGAATAGAAAGTAACTGGTATGAAAATACAGGGAAACTGAAATCTGAGACGATGAACTTTCATAAAAAGTGGAACACGAATATGAATAGTTTAGTTAATTAACAATTATACATTAATAGTATACGTATAATATTGGTCCATAAATAGATCCCAACAGTTACCATTCAATTATTCTCATCGAGATATAACAAATATTTTGATCTAAATTCAATGTTGAAATTGAAGTAAATTTCTCACACGTAACACCTTAAGTATCTGTTCGGATATGAGTTACCAATATAGTGAACGAGACCACCAATAAAGACAATCAAATGCATTTGAATACAGAGTTACAGAACGACGTTCCTACACCAATCACTCACTGGTGTCATTCTCTTCTCTTTGATCTTCTTAACTTCCTGTCGCCAGCTATTTTACTTCCGATTAATGATGCATACTACTTATATCTGTCAATATCAGTAGTACACATAACTTGAATAAATATTGTTTCTTCTTATTTCTTTTTTGTTTTCATTAGATGTTTCAATACAAACATTCATAGAATTAAACAAATCATTGATATATATAATAATCTAATAGAATATCAATGTATTTTATTCAAACGAATCATTCATCATCGGACATCGAATAAGAATCATTCAATTTGGATCAGTCAATCATTTCATTTAAACAATATCTCATTATATAATACAGTTTATTCTACTTGTCTTATACGTGTTTGTCAAATAGAACAACTTTGTACATATGTAAGTGGTTAAAGAAAGAAAAAAAAGGCGTGGAATTACATTGTTGGAAAGTATTTATTTACAGAAAAGGGGGTGATTTGTGGAGAATGTTGGGATTTGAAGAGTTGAATTCATAAGTCGATATAAGCTAGACTACTATGGAAAATCTAAAAGCATTGGATGGTTGTTTCGTTGTAGTATGGAACTCTTCAAAAGTGTGTATCCATGATATCACTGACTAGATTCGAACTCAGCATCTACAGTCTCGTAAGTGAACGCTTAAGCTTCAGTGCTTCTGAGTTTTCCATGGTGATCGAGCTTTAATCGATACATAAATTCAACTGTTGAATTACTACAATCTCCACAAAATAACCCTTTTTGATCATAATAATAATAATAATAATAATGTGCCCACTAGTGACTGATATTTCTTGGAGTTCTAATGAGAAGCCCAGTGGAGTTGAACCATGTCTGTTGTGAGACAGTTAATGACTGAAGATAATCGTGGACGGTGTAGCAAAATGGTTGATTGATTGAAGTTAGACATAAACACGATTGGATGTGGACCGATTGGTGTACAGATTAAGCGTTCTCACGTGAGTCTCAATGTTGTGGGTCCGGGTCACACGTGAGGGATTGTGGATGCTCACAACTCACCAGTCCCATACTAGAACGAAACGGTTATCCACTATTTCTAGCTTTTCAATTGTCGTCTAACATTCATCCACCATTCATGATATTAATGTAAAATCAACAATGTGCACAACCCTATACTGATAACTATGATGTGCTGACTAGTGACTAGGTTGAAGATGGATTTGATGGAGTTGTAGTGAGAAGCCATGACTAGTGGAGTTGAACCGTGTCTGTTGTGAGACAGTTACTGAATGAAGAAAATGGTGGACGGTGGTGCAATATGGTTGATTGATTCAAGTTAGACGGATGGAGTTGTAGTGAGAAGCCATGACTAGTGGAGTTGTACCGTGTCTTTTTTGAGATTTCCATTCTATAATTACTTTTTGTACTGTTTTAGATAGTATCAGTACAACCTTTTAAGTGGGATAGTTACTTTCAAACATAAAATGTCAAAGCTTACTAACATAACATAACAAAAACTCATTAACTTCAGTAACGATTATTGATCGTTTCGATAATCAACCATTTGTCAAATTTTTAATAGTTGAGATCATGAGTCAATTGAAGCCAGACCACCATAGAAAACCTGGAAGCACCGGACGGTCACTTTACCCTATGACCCTGCCTCCCGAGATTCGAACCCAGGACATATCAGTCTCACGCGCGTGAGCGCTAGACCGGCATCCATCGGTGTTATCCACAAAAATAGAACCCCTTTTGATATATTAATTTGTCAGATTGTCAGCTTTTAATTATTCTGAATAAATATGATGCATCAATTTCTTCTCCGTCTTTTCTTTTTGGGTTACAGGCTGAATTTTATTCATTGAATAGAACAAATAAACAATATAATGATCCATATGTACAGTCTAAAGTGTATATACCATTGATAATGTTGAATAATAATAATAACTATAGAAACAAATCGAAATTATCCCACTTATTCCCGCCAATAAATTTTAATAATTTAATACAATTTTACTTTATTCAATCTACATTGCAAATAAATCAAACTAATATTAACATACAATTGAATGATTCTATTGATGTATATTTTAAACATTCAACTATTAGTAAGTTCATCTTAGTTTCTAACAACTATAAGCTGTTTTCGTTTCAATAGTTGAAATCATGAGACGATTGAAGCTAGATCACCATGAAAAACCTGAGTTCGAATCCCGCGGGGTCGTGGATGCGCACTGCTGAGGAGTCCCATAGTAGGACGAAACAGCCTTCCAATGCTTCCAAGTTTTTCATGGTGGTCTAGCTTCAATTGACTCATGATTTCAACTATTAAAATTACTAAAACCTCCACAAAACCCCTTCTTTTTTCTTTTCGTTAGTTGATTAGTAGAGAGAGATTATCTTTAATTATAGCACCTAATTGCCATGATACGGCCGAAAGTGAGGAGAGTCAGATCTTCCTCTCTAAATGATATCACATGGCCACGTACATATGACCACTACCAGGGAAGTCCTACTCATTGTCTTCTCTCACCACGGATGTTGTTTAAGAAATAAAGAAGACGGAAAGCGAACGTCCGAGTAGATGAACACGGAGAATCCACCTAGGAGAGTTGGAAAACTCTGATTCCAAACTAATAGTGTACATGGGCTCCAGGATCTTGACGGAACAAATGGCGTATGAACCTATTGTTGGTCATCGGCTACCATGGTCCTGAATCTTCTGACGTTTTTAATTGGATATGTCATTTACAGATAAACAAAAGAATTTGTACTTTATCTTTATTTATGCTTAACACAGAATATGTCCAGTTCATATTGTAAATATAGATTGAAATGCCTCACTATTGCTTATTTGGTATTAAAAGTTATGGATAACGAGTTTTAGTGTGAATAGTTAACACTAGAATTTAAGTAGATCCAACTGATAAAACTCAGATCAAACAAAGAACACACTCTAGAATCCTCTAATAGAAGTCTAAATTTTAATCATAGGATGAATCACTATTATGTTCACGAAAACCTGATATTTTCGTTAGACGACATGAATTATAAAATCTTTATTTTAGTTAGAATGAACTCAGAAAAGCAAGACGAGAGCTCATGTGTCAGGGGGATTCAGATTCTCCTAACGAACTTTATGATCAATGTTCTGCAATAAAGAATAATTTATCTCCACCACATAGAACATGGAAGATGTAAAAACCATTGCATATCTGGGCAGCATCATTAATGAACACGGAGGATCTGATGCAGATGTGAAGGCACTGATCGGCAATGCAAGAGAAACATATCTACAAATGAAGAACATCTGGAACTCAAAACAATTGTCAACCAATACCAAGGTAAAAGTTTCGTCACAAATACCAAAACAGTTCTACTGTATGAGGTGGAAACTTGGAGAACTACGAAACCCATCATCCAGAAGATACAAGTGTTTATTAACAGTTGTCTATGCAAAATATTTCGGATTTGTTGGCCAGATACTATCAGCAACAACCTACTATGGGAGAGAACAAATGAGATCCCAACAGAGGAAGAAGTGTTGGAAGTGGATAGGACACACATTGAGGAAAGCACCCAACTGCGTCACAAGACAAGCCCTCACATGGAGTCCTCAAGGCCAAAGGAAAAGAGGAAGACCAAAGAACCCATTACGCCGGGAAATGGAGACAGATATGAGAATGAACGATTATTTATTTTAACACATAGATATTGGTACAAGGAGGCACCAAATACATATGCGCCACACAAATCTCATTCGATGTGTGAAGGCTGTCATACTGCCTGGGTGCCCAAACCGAAGCAAGTGGTTTTCTTAGGGGGCCACACCCCGAGCCTTCGACCTGAAGGTCTGATCCACAAGGCAGTGGAGCATCGTAAGGAGATGCAGTCCCATGGAAGCCGGTGACCAACAATTGGTTCATACGCCTTTTGTTCCCACAGGATGCTGGAGCCCATGTGCACCATTGATTTGGAATCCGGTTAAAGCGCCGGACATTCGCTTTTCGTCCTCTCATTTTCGTAAACAACACCCCCGCCACGAGAAGGCAATGAGTAGGACTTCCCTGGCAGAGGCTGTATACGCGTGGCCGTGTGAGAGTATTTCGAGAGGGAGAGCGGACTCTCCTCACTCTCGGCTGTACCAGGGCATTTAAAGGGCAGAACTATTAAGGAGGTCCCAGGATAGTGGGGGTTGGAGAATTCTGGTCGGTGGGGGTAACCGGCATAAGTAAATAAAAAACTACATAAAACAGTCAGCTGATATTAGTGATGGTATTTACTGCGTGGATTTTAAATTGCCTTAAACAATGAAGTTTACTGAAAGAAGTTGGCTTCCAATTCTCATAAGACATCGGATAACCGATAAAAATCATATTCATTTCCTAATACCATTTCTATCTGTTTTATATTACAGATGCGAACAAATCACTAGAATATGTTGGGATTAAATATATATTGGGAATTTCCATTTTTACTTTAATGTGTCAAATAATGATATTTTCATTTAAACATTTGAAGAAATGCTACACAAAATACAAACTTGTCAATCATAGAAATCCGTTTATAATGACAGCGGTTACAAGTAAGCATGTTAATTTTGTTTTAAAATGTTTGCTACTTATAAGTAGTACAAATGATTTTTCATACACATAGTTGCCCTGGTACGGCCGAGAGTGAGGAGAGTCCGCTCTCCCTCTCGAAATACTCTCACACGGCCACGCGTATACAGCCTCTGCCAGGGAAGTCCTACTCATTGCCTTCTCGTGGCGGGGGTGTTGTTTACGAAAATGAGAGGACGAAAAGCGAATGTCCGGCGCTTTAACCGGATTCCAAATCAATGGTGCACATGGGCTCCAGTATCCTGCGGGAACGAATGGCGTATGAACCAATCGTTGGTCACCGGCTACCATGGGACTGCATCTCCTTACGATGCTCCACTGCCTTGTGGGTTAGACCTTTAGGTCAAAGGCTCGGGGAGTGGCCCCCTAAGATAACCACCTGCTTCGGTTTGGGCACCCGGGCAGTATCACAGCCCACACACAAATGATGAACTCTATGTCCATGGAAATTACCTTTGTCGCTTTGAAAAACAATCAATTGATTCAAATTATGATCACTACAACTATTGTCATTATTAATACTAATATTATTATTACTACTATTATTGTCATTTTGGTTATTATTATTATTATTATTATTATTATTATTATTATTTTCCACATTATTCACCTTCTTTTATACTCATGCAGCGGCTCGTCTTTGGTGGAATTCCGACTGTATCTAAACGTTCTCGAGTCACTGTCCGGTTGAAAATTGTATGTTACCACCGAATACGAGGACTGAAGCAGATTTTCTGAAACCACGTGCACCATTCAAACTGGCTGCCTTCAACGTTCGCACATTTATGCAGGTCGGACAACAGATAGGGCTGGCTATGTCTTTGGAAAGTCTTAATATCGACGTGTGTTGTCTATCCGAGACCCGTATTCAAGACTCTGGCGAAGTACTACAAATTCGATCTCCATCTGTCGCTTCGAAAAGCTTGTTTTACGTGCGCTTATCCGGGGACCCTGTGGCATCTTCGGCTGATCTTGCTGGCGTTGGTGTCGCACTAAGTGCTAGAGCTGAGGCAGCACTAATCGATTGGATCCCCATTAACAGTCGGTTATGTGCTGTTAGATTGGAAAGTTCCATCAAAGTGAGAAGAAATCGGCGTGAGAAACGATGTCTTTTCGTCATCTCCGCCTATGCCCCGACAGATTGCAGCCCGGATGCATTCAAGGATGAGTTTTACCACCAGTTATCAGTTCTTCTCCAGAAAGTGCGTTCGACAGATATTGTAGTACTAGCCGGAGACTTGAATGCTCAGGTCGGGCGTCTAGGCACAGAAGAGAGTCGTTGAGGTGGCCGATGGGGACTCGTTGGTCGCAGGTCAGATAACGGGGACCGTCTACTGCAACTTTGCACAGACCACAACCTGTTTCTGGCTAGCACTAACTTTCGGCACAGTCATCGCCGATGTGCCACCTGGCGTCCTCCCTCTGCATCTCAAGCCTGGACTCAGATTGATCACATCGCGATCAGCTACCGCTGGCGTGGTTGTGTACAAGACTGCCGCTCCTTTTGGAGTACCTATCTGGACTCTGACCATGCCTTGGTCTGCGCCAATCTTGCCTTACTTTTCAGTGGACAACGAAGTGAACGCCATCAACGGATTGATGTTAGCAAGCTGGTTGCAACTTCTGTTGCAAATAAGTATCGAACCGAGCTAGCCTCTAGGCTAGCTACCACTCCACCGAAAAGTATAGATGAGCATTGGTTGCAATTGCATGATGCCATGAAAATGGCGGGAACAGTCAGTTGTGGGTTTGCGAAACGTCCCGCTTTTAAGCACTGGGTTTCTTCTGGTTCCTTACATCTCATTGAAGCCCGTCGGTCTACTCCGGGTAACCGTGAGTTTGACCATAAACGAAGGATTTTACGTAAGGAAATCGGGCAAAGCTTGCGTAAGGACCGAGAAGCCTGGTGGTCGATGCGTGCTAATGAGCTGGAAGCAGCAACTGCATCTGGTAACTACCGGAAGCTCTTCCAACTCATCCGAGCCACTGGCAGCAAGAAGTCTGGTGTGAGTGAAACAATCTGCGAGGGTGATGGGATGCCAATCACTAACATCCATCGACGTCTTGGACGATGGGCAGAATTTTTCGAAGGGCAGTTCAACTGGCCTGCTGCTCCGGCAACATCGGTCAGACTGTCCTGCCCTCCATGGCCGGTGACGACTGATCCACCAAATGAGGAGGAAGTCCGCAAGGAACTCCAACTCTTGAAGCGTTACAAATCACCTGGCCCAGATGACTTACCTCCGGCTCTTTTTAAAGATGGTGGTGACTTTTTGACTAAGGAATTGACGACGTTGTTTACAAAGGTTTGGGAACTAGAGAGTGTACCAACGTCATGGAATGAGTCGATAGTTGTCCCTATCTTTAAAAAGGGTTCACGTCGTTCTTGTAACAACTATCGGGGGATAAGTTTACTTCCGATTGCGTCCAAGCTATTGGCTTCCGTCATTCTTCGTAGGTTGTTCAAAACCCGAGAAAGATTGACTCGCGAGGAGCAGGCTGGGTTTCGTTCTGGTCGAGGATGTATTGATCATATCTTCACCCTCCGCCAAATGTTAGAACACCGCCATACTTTTCAAAGGCCAACAATCGTAGTGTTTCTTGACATCAGGGCTGCCTTCGATTCGTTGGATAGGACTGTTCTCTGGGATTGTCTATTGAAGAAGGGTGTGCCTGAGAAGTTTATTAACATCCTAAAAGCCCTATATACAAACACCTCAGGCAGAGTTAGGGCATACAACCACCTCTCTCCATTGTTCCATTCGAGTAGTGGGGTTAGACAGGGTTGCCCAATCTCACCATTCCTCTTCAACTTTGCCATCGATGACATTCTGGAAACAGCTCTGATGAATGTAAGTAATGGTGGTGTGGATCTGTTGCCTGGAGAAAGACTTCTCGACCTTGAGTATGCGGACGATATTGTCTTACTGTGCGATAATGCCCAAGGCATGCAATCCGCACTTAATCAGTTGGCAATCAATGTCCGTAGGTATGGTATGTGCTTTGCACCTTCGAAGTGCAAAGTACTTCTACAAGACTGGCAGGATTCCAATCCTGTACTCACCCTGGATGGTGAGCAGATAGACGTAGTCGAGAAGTTCGTGTATCTGGGTAGCTGCATAAGTGCTGGTGGGGGTGTGAGTGATGAGATCAATGCACGAATAGTGAAAGCCAGAGCGGCTTATGCCAATCTGGGCCACCTTTGGCGCCTTCGTGATGTTAGTCTGGCTGTAAAAGGCCGGATCTACAACGCGTCGGTGAGAGCAGTTTTGCTCTATGCTTGTGAAACCTGGCCTCTCCGAGTTGAGGACGTTAGACGACTCTCTGTGTTCGATCATCGCTGTCTCCGAAGGATTGCTGACATTCAGTGGCAACACCATGTCAGTAATGCAGAGGTTCGGCATCGTGTGTTCGGGCACAGAGATGATAACTCAATTGGTGTCACCATCTTGAAACACCGACTTCGGTGGCTTGGACATGTTCTCCGAATGTCGTCCCAGAGAATTCCACGTCGTGCATTATTTGCCGACTCTGGGACTGGTTGGAAGAAGCGGAGAGGTGGTCAGTGCATGACATGGTGTCGTGGCATGAAAGAAAGCTGCAAAGGACTGGCTTGTGTTGGTCCTTCACGACTCCCTGGTTGGGGTCCGAGAGATGGTGCTACACAGTGGCTAGAGACGTTATCAGATATGGCTCAGAATAGAAGCCAGTGGCGATCCTGCTGTAACCTTCTTTTACTTTCTTCATAAAAGGTGGTTGTGTCTCCTTTACCTGAAAGATTTCTTCTGATTGTACCTCTTCGTCATTACTCTCTTTTTCTTTTGCGTTCCTTAGTTTTTTTTTCTTCTTTTTTTTTCTTTCTACTTCTCTTCGAATTCCCATTGTTTTGTGTGGCGCATATATATTGGCGCTCTCTTGTACCAATATTTATGTGTTCAAATAAATAAATAAATAATGTTAATTTTGTTTTAAAATGTTTGCTACTTATAAGTAGTACGAATGATTTTTCATACACATAGTTTACTTTATTATCTTAAAGAGAGCAAGAACAAAAATTGGTGCAGAACAATCAATGGATTCATTTTATTTCATTAGGTTCTCATTAGCTGCTTACAACCTAAATTATTTAAAATTCAACATTATTACAGATATTGACATATTTATACATAAGAATGTGATTAAGGATGAATACATGTGTATCTGTTATGGTTCGTTATTGCTTGAATGCTATTACTGATGCGTCTTACTCGAACGAACGAAGGATCAATGATTCAGCGACTCGATAGCTATTCTGGTTCGTTGTCCCCGACTCTGCTAACCCGATCAAGAAGTCTGGGTAAGGTGTAGAAAGTGTATTCTACAGACAAACAGCAGATAACAAGTCAAATCAAACACACAAATCAAGCGTATTTATACAAATATTTACAATCGATATTGTCATAGAAATTTTTTAAACATTAATCAACGAGTTCATTAATTGACCTATTTGCTCATTTAATCGATAGTTCATCAATTGACCCCAATAAAAATATCTAACATTTAATCGATAAGATAAAACTTAAAAATATGAGTCTGGGGATCTATCGTCCCCAACAGTATCATGACGTAGGGAAGATTCAGATCGAGTTAATGAGCTCATAAAATGTTTGATTCGAATAAATAAATAAATAAATAGAATTTGAGGGGGAAACTTCTGGAACATTGAAATAGTGATTAGAACTCATGAAAATAGATTAATGGTAATAAAGAAAATATGAATTGAAATCAATCAGTTATGTATGATGTAATTTAAAAGAGTTGGAGTAATGACACAATAAATAAATAGAGAAATAAATGAATAAAAGGGGGTTATTGTTACCAGGGTAAAGAAAGATTTATTACTGTCTCTTTTTGTATACATAGATCTGGTTTTAAACGTTTGATTGCTAACGCTTCAGCAAATTTCAAAAGGTTGGAGTTTGATTGTTTGTTAATCACCTTGAAGGACGTCAGTATATCAACTTCATGTCCTGTAACAAGGAGATGGCACTGTTGAATGCGTTCAATCCATTTAATCTTAAACTTTTCGAAATATGTTTTTTGGGCGTCCATTGCCATCTATAACACAAAGTGTAATACAGGGAAGAGCTAATCAGAACCGAAAACTCAGCTTTTGCACGATGATCACTCACTACGAACAACTGGGATATGTTTGTATGATGCTCAAAATGTTTCACATGATAGAGGAAATTACTTTTTGTCTCCACAGAGTAAACAGTATGACGTTAAACGCAACAAACGTCCAATTACGTTGATGTAGATCATATATGACTGGCTAATCAACTCTATCCCTAAATTTCAACACTAAACCTACACTCCTGGTTGTACTATGCTTTATGGGCGAACTGATGATGCAGCACTTTTTGCATTTGCTTACAGATAACCTTTGCATTCAACATGATTTAGTTTATGATGGCAACCCTAATCCTAAATAGGAACAATCTGGGACTCTTTCACATCAATTGCTGCTCTTATAATGGTTCAGGAAAACAGGTTTCCTACATCCGTAATGAGTAATTTTCTCACAAACTTTGCATTTGCAATAGCTAGTTTATGATTGACTAGGAACTAGTGTAAAAAATAATCACAATTGTTTCAAGCTTATCTGCATAATGTTCTCTTGACAATTTCATCTTTTGTAAACTTAAGACAACGAATAATATTTCAGTATACTACAGAAACCCTACCCAACATATAAGTCGATACCTTGAATTAGTTGTATTGTACCAGTTATGTAATCACATCACTGATAAGTTACAATATTTTCTCAGAACTTTTGTAAATAATATTTGCCTAAATTAAGTAGAACCACGTATTCTTGTAGGACCTTGAAGGCTTTTTCATTTCACAATAAAAGTAATTCACACTTACTTGTATGAAGTATATAGTTAACAATATTCTCAGAATAATGTGTAAAAGTGTGCACCACATAAATTATTCGGTTTGTGTGAGGACTAGGATACTGCCCGGGTACCCAAACTGAAGTCATGGTTTTCTTAGGTCACACCCGGAGCCTTTGACCTTGAGGTATGATCCACAAGGCAGTGGACGAACGTCAGGAGATGAGGTCCCATGGTAGCCGTTTCATACGCTATTTGTTCTCTCGGGATACTGGAGCACATGTCCACCATTAGTTTGGAATCAAGGTTTTCCAACTCTCCTAGATGGATTCTCCGTGTTCATCAACCCGGTTAAAGTGCCATACATTCGCTTTTCGTTCTCTCAATCATATAAACAACACCCGTGGTGCGAGAAGGCAGTGATTAGGACTTCCCTGGTAGTGGTTGTATGCACGTGTCCATGTGAGAGCATTTCGAGATGGAGGGAGCAAACTCTCCCCACTGTTGACTGTACCAGGGCATTTTGGGGCGCTATACTTCACTAGCAAGGATTATTCAAATCCTCAATGTGTAGTAAAATATCGAACAATAATCCCTAAGCGCTGAGAATTGAAGACAATTTAATGAAATTATGTTAAGCAATGAATTGTTCAAAATGTTCACTTAGCGTGTTATACTCTTGTAGTTGGTTGACAGACGTCATAAAGATTTATAAACTGTATTTGATACTCACTGTCGATTAGGTTAACACTAAAATATTCAAGCTGAAAATAGTTACTTATGAGTGAGTAATGTGGATCTAAACAATCCATCGAGTCTATAATTTATGAACGTACCAATCACGCATAAGACAACAGATCTTGTATTTTTGGCGTGAAATTCACTCATCTATTTGATTAAATAGAGTTTTAGCATTATAGCTGATATCAATTCATGATGAAAACCCTAAATCAAACTTATAACCTTAATCATCAACTGTAAATCATAATTGTAATTTCTCATACTGGTTTATAACCCTCATATGGTTCTAGTTATTAGGTGGACACTGTCAAGATCACCTTAGAGTCGCTCAAAGATTGTCGTTGGGGGAAAATAAAGTACTTATTCATAATAAATCATATATTTATTAGTTAATAAAAATTAACAAACAAGTGCCTATTTTGTTATTTTCCACTTTCCTCCCGCCTCCTCCCCTCTTAGACGAAGTTCAACACTCTGTGAATAGAGATGTAAACTCTAAACAAATTTGTCACAATGATTATCATATTGAAAATAGATGTGAATTACATAATACTAATGTCATAATGAATGATAATAGATTAAATAAAGAAATAAAAGATATAGAAAGTGATAGAATTGAACATAATCCACTTGATCATCAACAACAAACTAGTCATTCAATGACATGTTTATTAATTTATCCATCTAACAAATCAAATCAATGTCGTCTCTTATTCAATAATAACCATAATAATACATTACATTATACTAATTCATGTCTTCCATCACCTATTCATTGCCAATACAATCAAAATCATCTATCAAAGTTTAAGATTGATTCATGTGTAAAATCAAAACAGATCAACTTACCACAACGTATAAGTAAATCAACATTGAATATTGCTACTAATCATCAAATGAAATTATCAACAGAACAATTAACATTGAATGAATATGATAAAATGAATCAAGTAAATGATAAAAATCTGCCGCTTTTCAATAATTGTACACATAGAAATGTATTTTTACCAACTTGTTATCATAATGATTGTTTAAAACAAAAATATGCTTATTGTACAGTATATCATAGTTTAAAGAATCAAGATTATAAAGATGGTTGGGTTTAAGCTCTACTTTTCTTGTTTATATTGATGAAGATGTGAGGATACTTTTTAATTGAAACTATAGAGGAGAATTGAGTTTATACTTTGTATGAGGTTTTCAAACGACTTGGATTAGATGCTTCGACAGAGATGCCACCAGGTGCTGTATTCCAGACAAATCTTGTATAGGCTAACTGTGAAGTGTACTATTAACTGAAAATGTTTTGATAATTAAGCTCGTAGCTTGTGTTGTAGCTGCTTGCATTACTGTGAAATTGTGAAGTACTTTCTGTATAATATCGGAAGTCGTAATGACTGTCTTTGTAACCTGGCGTAAACTAAAAAGGTAAAAGATTACTTGATTTTGATTTTAAGTACGAATACACACAGCAAAAGCGTGCCCTATCGAAACGTGCATTGTTATTTTCGTAGTTTAAAGCAAAAGGTGTCAGAAATGTCACCACATGGCCGGAGCAGGGAGGCACAATCCGACTCACACGTCCGCGTCGTGCCTCCTGGATAGTGAGACGAATGTCTCATGAACCAACGTGAGCGGTAACCCGGGTGGTGGAGATCGGGCTAATCACCCACTCAACCTATACCCACAACCTGATTACGAAAACTACAGAGAATCATTGCACAATTATTAATGGTCCAAATAAAGACAAAAAAATCACAAAAACTAAAACTTGGTTTATGGAATGTCCGGGGTTGCTCTCAAGAGGGTAAGCTCCAACTGATTGCAGAACAAGTTATCGAACGTATGCACCACATAGCAGTGATTGCTGAAACGAGGATGGTCTCCAAAACTATGAAAATAGACAAAAACACCACTTTCCTCAACTCTAATCCTGATATAAATGACTACCGGAACACCGGTGTCGGGTTCATCATTAATAACCAGTCAATGGTTTCTGCCACCAACTTTAAGGAGATAGATGGTAGAATAGCTACCATTAAAATACATAGCAAAATCACTAACCAGACTATCAACCTCATTGGTTGTTATGTACCAACTGAGCCTTCTAATGATGATATCAGTAAAGAAAACTTCCATCTTAAACTGAACAGCACAATTGAGAAACTTAAACTAAATAAACTCCCCATAATCACACTAGGTGACTTCAACTGTAGGCTAGGCCTGGACCTTTAAGCTTACTACCTTAGTATCGTAGGGAAAGCTATCAAGCTTGAATCAGAGACATCAAAAAATGGCATGAGACTAATAAACCTATGCGAAACATCAAGTCTGCGAGTAATGAATACCTTCATTACTAAACCAGCTCATAAGACTTCCACCTGGGTACACTCAAAGACCCAAACGGAACATATGATAGACCTAGTGTTAATAGAAGATAACTCTAAGTTAATGGTCTGTGACATACACAACAGTCGATCTATGGAGGCTAACTCTGATCACTACATGGTCATAGCCATACTTAAGCTAAAGTACTTAAATAATAAACAGACCCCAAAAACAAATAAGAGACCCGGACGAAGACAACGTAAGGCGATACACGCCTTGACATCGGATTATCCAAATATATTAGATAACTTACTTCGAAATGAATATAGTCTAAGTCAGATAGAAGGAGCAATGATACAGACAGCTAACAAAGCTGCGATCCCACATAAGTCAGCCACTAAAAGATGGCAACACAGCATAAGTGATCTCTTAAAAAAGAGATAAAGCATAGAACACTACTAAGATTAGCCTGGTTAAACAACTCTATGGCCCTTAATAAAAACCTCTGTACTCAAATATAGTATGTTAAAACCTTTACATATCTGGGCAGCATCACTGATGAACACGATGAATCTGATGCAGATGTGAAGGCACTGATCGGCAATGCAAGAGAAACATATCTACAACTAAAGAACATCTGGAACTCAAAACAATTGTCAACCAATACCAAGGTAAAAATTTTCGTCACAAATACCAAAATGGTTCTACTGTATGAGGCGAAAACTTGTTGAACTACGAAACCCATCATCCAGAAGATACAAGTGTTTATTAACAGTTGTCTATGCAAAATATTTCGGATTTGTTGGTCAGATACTATCAGCAACAACCTACTATGAGAGAGAAAAAACCAGACCCCAACGAAGGAAGAAATCAGAAAAAGGCGCTGGGAGCGGATAGGACACACATTGAGTAAAACACCCAACTGAGCACAAAGCAAGTCCTGAAGGCCAGTCCATACTCTAGCTGTACTAAAAGTCTCCCAACTAAGAAAGGTATAACCAATCACTGCTATGTAGTACATAGATGGTCAGCAATTGCCGGAAAGGAAGTAAAACAAAAGACAAAAAACCTGCAAAAATAACTATTAAGCCCTGGTAGTTGTGCCGTGCTTCGATGTAGCCTCTTCTCCAGAAGGGCCTACTAGGCTTCACCAACTTGTTTGGCTGGAAGGGGCACCACAGGATCCGACAAAACTACCGGAGTTCAATGGTTGTTTTCGGGAGGTAAAATCCGACTCACACGTCCGCGTCGTGCCTCCTGGATAACGGGGCTCATTCCCATTAACTAACGTGAGCGGTAACCCGGACGGTGGAGATCGGGCTAATCACCCACTCTACTTATACCCATCCACTGATTAAAAATCCTACAATGAAACAATGTATCTGTACCTTTGGTTAAAAAAACAAAAAAAATCCCAGAAACTTCCAAGAACTAAAACTTGGCTTATGGAACGTCCGTGGTTGCTCACAGGAAAGTAAATTACATCAAATTGCTAGTCAAATAACTGAACGTCAGTGCCACCTAGCAGTGATTACTGAAACCAGAATGCCAAGCAAAATATTAGAAATGGACGAAAACACAACTCTGTTTAACTGCAACCCAGATATAAACAATCACAAAAACACTGGTGTCGCCTTCATCATCAATAATCACACAAACATCACAACATCTCACTTCAATGAAATAAAAGGCAGAATCGCAACAATAATGATCCACTTCAAATCAATGAACCAATCCTTCAACTTTATTGGATGCTATTCCCCCACAGAAACTTCAGATGATGACAATCAAAAAGATAATTTCTACATCTCACTAAAATGAACAATCATGAATATCAAACAAAACAGACTACCAATAGTACTAATGGGTGACTTCAACTGCAGATTAAGCCAAGAATTACACACAATGTATCCTCACATTATTGGCAAAGCAATCAAACTAGAAGACACCTCACCAAATGGCATCAGATTAATCAACCTTTGCCAATCAACGAAACTAAAAATCATGAACACCTTCATACAAAAACCGCAAAGCAAATCCATCACATGGATGCACCCGAACAAAAATGATACCCATACCATCGATCTAATTCTACTAGATAACAAACCCAATCAAAATATCACAATATGCGACATACATAACTCCCGATCAATGGACGCCAACTCAGATCACTTCATGCTCACCACAATAATTAAACTCCAACACAAAAAGAGAAACAAGAAACACAAACACGAGCATACGCACAAGAAACGCACACAAAATAACACACGAAATGCTATTCAATCCATGTCCTCTGATTACCCTACAATATTAACAAATCTAATAAATGAAGCAAATGATTTGGCACAAATAGAAAAAGCCATTATGCATGCTGCACCAATATCTGCAAACCCCCGAAAATCAGCAACTAAAAGATGGCAAACACAGATCAGTGAGGACCTAAAGGAAAGCAACTAAGACAATCCAACTGTAGAAAACAAAAACAAATATAATCAAGCAAACAAACTAGTAAAACTTGAAATAAAATCAGCCAAAGAAGACTACATTCAAAACGAAACTAAGGAAATGAATGCCTCCCTCGAACAAAATGATCTACATTCAGCGTATAAAATGCTTGACGACATATTAGCCACAATAAGAAATCAAACATATAAACAGCGAAGAAACCAAATAAAAAGCAAAACACTTCAACAACATTACCAAAATCTGTTTCAATCAACAACAACACTAAACCTAGAATCCTCGAACATGAATCAATTCAATGAACCTCCTCTAACAAAACCTGAACTTGAAATAGTCATCAAGAACCTAAAAAATAACAAAAACCCCGGTAACAATGGCATAACCAATGAGATGACCAAACATGGTGGGGAGAAACTACAAAACATCCTATTAAACATCATGAACAAATTCTGGACAAATCCAAACGAAATCCCAAATCACTGGTTAAACGCTAATGTAATAAGCATTTACAAAAACAAAGGTTTGAAATCAGATCCAAATAACTACAGACGCATCTTCCTACTCGACACACTGAGCAAAATGTTCTCCGGAATGATCTGCAACAGACTAGTACAACAAACAGATAATCAAATTCCGCCAACACAATTTGGCTTCAGAAAACATTTAACTGCCAGTCATGCAATTACTACAATCAGACATGTAATCCAATGTGCTCTTGATTCAAAGAAAACACTGATCATCATCTTTGTAGACCAAACGAAAGCCTTCGATACCTTGTAGATTCAAGTTTTACTTTCGTTGGATGCTTGTGCCAGTTTGTCGGTAGTTTGTCTTTCATTTCATTAATGTCTTGAGTTAATTGTCTGATCCAGCTTTTTGTGTGTGCATTACGGTGTTTTGATGGGTTTTCTATGTGTCTTGTTTATGTTTTGGTCAATTCTGCATTATTTTCGTCGCAATGTTAGGGAGTTGTATTTTTTTGTGTGGTTGTTCTATGTTAAGTTCCTTTCTGTCTTTGATGTTTAGGATTATACGTCATGTTGTGTTGAGGACGGCTTCTAGTCTAGACCAGTCTTTCTTTCTTAGGACTATGGAATTTAGACTGTATGTGAGATGCGGAATTACTAGTGTATTGATTAACTTTGTTTTTGTTGACAAATTGAGTTTTGTTGGTTTTTAAGATAGGTGATGTTTTGATTAGAGCATTCTTTGACTTGGCTGCCCCCTGAATGCCCTGGTACGGCCGAGAGTGGGGAGAGTCCGCTCTCCCTCTCGAAATACTCTCACACGGCCACGCGTATACAGCCTCTGCCAG